TTCATAATCTTAGGCTGCTGGGTTTGGGTGTGGCAAATATGCTGCAGCTCACGCACTGCTCAATTCAATGTCAGTTTTAAGCCTTCAGTTGGTATTTTTGGGTTTTGTAAGTTTGGGAGGTTTTTTGCCTGTTGGCAAAAAAGTTATGGACGTTTCGGTTTCCTCGCTGCTTATCGTTTCTAACTGAAGAGGAAGCCGATGAAAATGAAAACTGGGATTGAGGCAGAGATTTATGGTACTTGTTTATGAGGTTGGCGAGGTGGAACGAAATAAAGAGAAAGCAGAACTTCAGTCTCTGCAGTTAAAAAGCCTCTAAAAAAGTTCCATTGTGCAAGTGTGCTGAATATGATCTTTTTTTTTTCTGCTGAGGAAATATTTTTCTGCAGATTTTTTTTTTTAACACCATTTAGCTGGTAGGGATCTTCCTGAATACTGCTTGCATATCATTTTAATTCAGCCTTCCAAGCTTGGCGTTCAGTGGCTGTTAAGTGCAAAAGACGACAGCCACAGGAAAGAAAAAAGCCAGCTTCTGATTTCTAGTAACTGAAGTTAGGTTCACATCTAAAAGAAAATGAGTACAATTTTACAATTTTATGCCAGCATCCATATCACTGCAACTCACAACTGGCAACCCACTGAAGCTAAGCAGGTGTGAGCCTGGTCAGTACATGGATGGGAGACCTCCTGGGAAAAACTAAGGTTGCTGCTGGAAGAGGTTTTAGTGGGATTAAAACTCTGTGTGGGTCCTAATGCCCCAGTATAGTGACGGGGACACTATACTGTAAATGGGCTCTCTCCTTCGGATGAGACGTAAAACTGATGTCCTGACTCTCTGTGGTCATTAAAAATCCCAGGGCGTTTCTCGAAAAGAGTAGGGGTGTAACCCCTGTGTCATGGCCACATTTCCCATTGGCCCTTACCAATCATGGCCTCCTAATAATCCCCCTCTATGAATCGGCTACATTACTCTGCTCTCCTCCCCACTGATAGCTGGTGTGTGGTGAGCTTCCTGGCGCACTATGGCTGCCGTCGCATCATCCAGGTGGGGCTGCACATTGGTGGTGGAGGGGAGTCCCCGTTACCTGTAAAGCGCTTTGAGTGGAGTGTCCAGAAAAGCGCTATGTAAGTGTAAGCAATTATTATTATTATTATTATTATTATTTATTATTGTTGTCTTTCCACACGTTAGGATTTTTACAAGCAAATTTCAAAGTCAGAACACACAATTCATGATGTTATTGCCTTTAGAATAATGGAATCAGCAGAATTTGTTCAGCCAGGATAACTGGAACTTAAATACTGATTGTTGTAGCTCTCCGTGTACAGCTCCTTCTGTATCGGTTGCTTGTGCCAGAGAGCTGTGTGTAGGTAACAAATCAGAATGCATGGAGCTCTAAAGATGACGACACCTAGCAGGACAAGTAGCCCTCCTTCAGTTGCTCCTTATCCCCCACAGGCAGTTTTTAGAATACACTTTCTGTCACCTTTTGTAGCTTGGAATTGGGAGCCTTGTGATTTGGGAGCATCGCTTTGCACTCATTCATGGAAACAAATGGCAGCCTAAAAAGAACGTTCCCTAAAAAAAGAACACCAGCTGGCCTTTTGACTTTGCATGTGGCAACCGTTACTTTTGTTGCTGAGATGAGATCTGGCTGTTCATCGGGAGAGCCAGAGAAGTTAATGAGAGCTGGTGCACTTGGATATGAACTCATTTCACTTGTTCTTTTGTCTGGCTGGGAGCTGGGTTCAGGGATCAGTTGCAGAGTTGCATGCAGTCATCATGACTGGAGTGCTGGGTCTGAAGGAGTTAAGCAACACTGGCTGAGCTCATTACAGCTTGAACCCCTTGCGGGAGTGTGTCAGGCTTGGCAAACTGCCAGGTGCTGCAGGGTTTGTATCTCCTCTCATGTGCTTGGTGTTTGTGTTGCATATACGGACTGACAGGCCAGACTGTTAGGACCCCCAGCTTACACTTATATAGTGCTTTTCTGGACACTCCACTCAAAGTGCTTTACAGGTAATGGTGATTCCCCTCCACCACTACATCCACGTACATGATGCGACGGCAGCCATAGTGCACCAGTACGCTCACCACACATCAGCTATCAGTGGGGAGGAGAACAGAGTAATGAAGCCAGTTCATAGATGGGGATTATTAGGAGGCCATGATTGGTAAGGGCCAATGGGAAATTTTGTCCAGGACTATAAAACCCTCTGTAACGCTGTTGTACTTCAGGGCTCTGTGGGAAGTCCATCTTGTGTGCGTCTTCTTCTGACTTTCTTAGGAGATGGCCGTTTTAGTCACAAACTCCTCTCACCTTGTTGGCCTGTGCAGAGGCACAGCACATCTGTAGTTAAGATTATTTGCTGCAGGTTCCTGATACTTTGCCCGGTGCGTGTATTGTCTGTGTCAGGATCGCTCACTCTGGTGTGACAGGTCTTTGTGGTGTGAGCGCATCTGTTTGCCTGCCTGGATCTGTTTACCTGCTTGGATTATGGCACCGCAGCAAAGCAACACTGTTAATAACCCATTGGAGCCAGGATCAGCAGGGACACAAGGTTTATTTCTTTAGAGTTTTAATTTCCTGTTCAATTAAATGATCATGAAGCGATGGGAATAGATTAAACAGAGAATCGGTAAGTACACAGCCCAGAAGTTATTTGCACGTCATTGTGATGTGTGCTTGTCAGAAACGTCATAGAATGCGCTTGTAAACAGAAGAGGTTTGAAAGTATAACTTTTATGTAAGATAATTTTTTATATCTCACCTTTCGTGACATCTCAATGGACTGGAAACAAGAAATCTGACAGAGGCTGTACATAAATGAATGTTGACCGTTAAGACAGGATTTGAAAGTGCTGACTGACTTGTAATATCTGATAAGGGCTGGCAGATCATTCCATGTCGTTGGAGCAACAGGGCACAGTGCACTGCCTTCCAGGGTGTGGAGAATCGTGTTGTATCACTGAGAGAAGCACCTCCAGGTTCTCCACTCAGAAACTGCGAAAATAAAGTTCTCGTGCCCCAGACGAATACGGCAGTGGCAACCAGAGTCCAGCCCCCCTCTCTCTCATTTTGAAATGGCGAGCAACAGCGGAACATTTAAAGGATTAGCTGAAGTCTGTGTCTGCTTCTTTCTGTGGTGTTTGGGGTAAGATCTGACGCATACCACTTGTCCCATTTCCTCAGCCAGCCCTTGATTTACTAACGCCCGGTTCACCTGTTTTGGTACAGCGACAACTGTACACATTTCTATATCTGTTTTTCACACTTGGAGCAATTTCTGTTACAGCAAAGACATGTCCTTTATAGCTGAACCAGGATGCCATTCTCCCAGCAGGACATCCAGCAAAACGCTTCCTCGCTGTGTCTGTGTTCCAGCAGTGCTTGCACACTTTATCTGTCTGTACTAGGGGGAATACAGGAATCATCACAAGCAATAGTGTTCTTGCCTTGGCAGTTAACGGCTATGGATTATGTTCTAGACGTCAGGAACAAATCATACGTTTCGACAGGAAAAGTCGTGGAAATAGACGCTTTCCAATATTTCATGTTAGCAACTGTTTTCGAGGAGCGAATTGCGTATGTGAATCGAGAGATGGGTGTATTTGGCTCCACAACTCTTTGCTAGAAGTGACAGCTGACTTCTTATAAGACTTAGTCGTTTTTCCACATTGAGGAGGCTTCCAACCTGGGACGAGACTGCTTGTTGGCAAACGTGCCTTCTGGTGTATTTACCAAACGCCCATCCATGAGACAGCCAAAGGTCGCATCGTCAATCCTCCTGGGTTCACCCACTGCGACCTTTGACCCTGTTGCGGTATCAGGTGGTCAAGCTCACCTGAGGTGTCGCTGCCAAGAGAGTCTCCCACATTCCAGACTGAAACTATTACGGTAACAAAAATGCTTTTGTTTACTGTATGTATATTTTTTATTTTATGAACTTTTCCTTTTTGGAAATGCCCCTAAAATACAAGGCCACCTTAAATTTCAGTCAGTAATGTATATTGTTGAAAGCATATGGTCATGGATTTTAACCTTTTTGTCATTACCTGCCTTGCAGCTTTCTCTCTGCTTTCAGTATCTTGGCAGATGTCATTGCGTGGGTCACGGCATTCAAGATTTTATCATGACCTTTCAAGGCCAAGTGGAAAAATGGGGTGTGGGCCGTCACACCACTTTGTCCTTTGTAAAACCTGTGCTGAGCAGATTGTTCCCAATGTGTCTCACTCTCCTGCAGTGGTCTGTTGCTGCACCCAGGTCTGAGTAAGAGACGTCTTTGTGTAAACAGGAGGCCCGTGACACTTGCATGCTGTGGCTGATTTTTATTGAAGTGTACTGGGATTCTGTTTTCCAGTTGTACAGCCCTGTGTGAAAGTTGGTGAGGAGCACGCGTTTGGGTCTGTGTTTCTTGCGGGAGACTGTGCCCCAGATTTGGTGCTGTGGGGTCCGCGTTTTTCTCCCAGCCTCCCCCAGCCTGTCCGTCGCCGGAGCTCAAACCCTACCATGACAAACCAGCCAGGCTGCTATGGAAACTTCAGAACAGCTTTGCCTTTCGCCTTTTTTTTTTTTAATATGTTATTTTTGTCAGGACAGGAACAGTTTGTGCTGAAGTTGTGCAACTGAATGTATTTGAAAGGCCAAAAAAGCGCACGCAGGGATTCTTACAAGAAAGATTCTTTGTCTTTAGGGAGATGCCTATTTTTAGGAAAGCGGTTTACTGGAATTTGGCAATTGAAGTGGAATAAATGTTTCTGCTTCTCGGTCTCATGTCAGGAGAAATTTCTGATGGCTCCTGACAAGAAGAATTGACCCGTTGTGGGAAGTCCACCCAGTGCGTCCGTTGTAATTGAAGACCGTGCTGCTGCTCTGTAGTGAATACAGGAAGAAGAGCCCCTTGGGGAAATGGAAGGGATTCAGAACGCGGCACGCAGAGCTGCGAGGTCCTCTCTCTGATCATGACATAACGTTGTCGGTGTGCCTTCCTTTTCCCTGCAGCTCAGCCGTCGATGTGAAGTCGGGCCTGCGGGTGGCCGTGAAGAAGCTGTCCAGGCCTTTCCAGTCCATCATTCACGCCAAGAGGACATACCGGGAGTTGCGGCTGCTCAAGCACATGAAGCACGAGAACGTGAGTCCTGCTCGAGGAGAACCCCCCGGGCAGCTCGGTGCCGGTCACCTGCCAACACCCCTCTCCCGAACACCAGACAGGTTACATACTAGAGGAGGCCATTCGGCCATTCCAGTGAGCAGAATCCAACCACCCAGTTGTTTCTAGTAGGAAGCTAGAGTATCCCCGTCAACATTGCCTGCGTCGCTTGTTCCAGACTCCCACAGCCCTTTATGTAAAGACGCACCTCCTGTTTTAGTTTTAAGTGCACTTTTCACATTGTTCACTCTTGTGTTCTCTGGTTTGTGTTTCACTTTTGATTCTGAAGAAGTCCGCTGGACTTTGCCAGTGCCTTAGAGGATTTTGCGTACTCGTCAGGTCTTGAAAACTGGAGAGCTGTGCTGCCTGAGGCTGATGGGATACAGGGGTCAAAGGCTGTAAACCTGATTGAAGCTTTGACTCTGCCACTGACTGAAAATGTGAACTTGTAAAGAGCAACAAGCTTCCTGCGGCCTCCTTATTGTGATTGTATCTACAGCCGCAGCCATTGACTCGTGTCTAAGCCACTTTGAATAACAAGCATCTTATAAGTCTTTTTTATTCGTCTACCGGTATATATGCTTTTTTGCTTTATCAACTTGTAAAAAAATAAATGAAAACTTGAGAAACCTTGAACGCTGTTCAGTTTAGTCTGCAAAATAATTGTTAAAAATACCTAAAAAAATTATTTTATTTCACGCTTTTATATTACACTCGTGGTCTAGAAAAATCTTTTGTTTTTTGTTAAGGTAGTGTTGAAAATAGGGTGCCTCCTGCACACCTGAAAGCTCGTCTTTGAACAGTGACAGCGCTGCGAAACCGAATGTTGTTGTTGAGTCACGAGCAGGCTTGACGGCTGCTTAACGTACAACAGCACAACTGATAGATGTTTATCGCCCCAATGCAAGACTGAGCTGTCTGGAGCAGAAGAGGAAGGCTTTATGGAGTGCTGTGTCAGCCACTCTCAGCATTGCATTTCTTGTTGTCAAACACCCTACGTTGAGCTGGAGCCAGAGATTCAATAGCAATGCAGATGTTTGGACACTAGCAAATAAGTACACATTGAAGGCAGTCTTTATCCCAAACATCATTTATTTAAACAACTCTCAAAATAGTGGGCCTTTGTATTGAATTTATTTTAGTTTGTTTAATCCCGTTGCCAGGCTGTGTAATTTGTTTTGCCTAAAAAGCTCTTAATTTTTTTACAATTTTGAGAAGAGAGGTCTTGAAACAGGACACCACAACCTGAAAACAAAGAAAATGCCTTCTGAAGATCCATGCCCAGTTGAGTTGCTAAAGTTTCAAATTATATATCATTCAGTTGTGCCCTCTGTCAAGTAATTAAAACAAATTGCCTTCAAGAATGCCCACCTACGCATCTGAAATTAAAGGATGTTCAGAAGCCACAAGTTGAGCTAATTTCCCTTTCTTCTGAGCATTAAGAAATATGCGAACACAAAAGGTCATGTTCACCAAGCGTTTAGAAGTGTTACAGAGATTCTTCAGAGATTTAAGAGTGTGTATCATGATCCTTTGCTTGTTTTGGAACAGTTTACGTGAGGAGGTTTAATAAATACTGAGAGTTTCGGTTATCGATAAACGCAAGTCATCAGCTTATAAACTTTTCTGGTAATTAGAGTAATTGTTGCAAGGCAGTTACAGTCTCCAAATTGTGTGTCTCATGAAGTGTCTTGCTTTGAAGGATTCTGCACAGTAAAGAATAGTTTAAAATTTAGTAAGTGCTCATTGTTCAACTTTTATTTTCTACTTTTGTTTGAAGGAAAACAAGTAATGGGGAATTTCTTTACACAAAGGGTTGTGGGGGTCTTGAGTAAACTGTTCACTTGCATGTTGATAGCCATGGATCCTTTAAATGGCAGTGTGAAATCTACAAATCCATAAGCAAACAGTAAGCAGATAAGCAAGAAGGCTCATATAACCAACTCTTGTTTGTAACTTTTGTTTTAGAGAGAAGTGCCTTTAAACAGTGCTGTAATGTTTCCTAAAATTAAGTTACTTAAGTGCTTGTCCACATTGGGTTTAAAAGTTTGTTGGCATAGTGTTTTAGAGGGCTTAACCCAGATTTTCTGTCCTGCTTAGTGAAATACAGTTGGAGGAAGAACCTACTTAGAACAGCATTGGACCAAGACCACACACTGAGGTCTTGTAGTTATGTCAAGCCTGCAAACCACTATAAAGATAACACGTGGTCTCATAAAGCCTGATTCACACAGGACAAAGAATAACCGCATTAAGTGGTGGTTTCTGAAAGGTACCCCACTTACATTTCTGTCAGATTCTTTGTTTCTCTTAAGTGTCTCTGTCTGTTTTTCAGGGAACTCCTGAAAAATGTCAGACTTCTGGCACTGTTTCCTTTTAATTCCATGCAGAAACACCAGCGTCAGGACTGATAAGACATTTTCTTTTGACCAGCAGTGCAATTTAAAATGTAGTAGAGCAGAAGATGCCATTGTACGAAAAAGCATTAATTCACCTTTCAGGAAAGCAGTACCCTGGAGAAATTAAATTAAACTATGCTTTCTGCTTCAGCTAACAATTCAGTGCTTGCATTTTCTTGCATTTGAATTTGGATAACTTGTTTCTTTACTGCACGTCTCTCCTGTACAGAAGGAAAAAGTGTAGTATACAGTGTTTGTTGTTTATAGTCCATGTGCAGAAACAATGTACTTGGCTGGAAGTTTTCTATTAATCCAAAATTGCTTGACCTTCTACACTTTAGATCTTGGTGCACTATGTGCTGTACTCGAGATCTTACTGTGTCTCTCTGTCTTTCAGGTGATTGGGCTCCTGGATGTTTTCACTCCTGCAACGAGCCTGGAGGAGTTCAATGATGTGTAAGTCCGAACGTGCCAGACTGCGAGAGTTGCTTTTCTACTCATTCTTCTTTTAGAAAATGTGGAGTTGGTAGCAGGTATGCCATTTCCTGCACAAGGTGCTTGAAAAGTGACGTGGGCTCTTCAGGAGATCCTCTATTGGTTCAGTGTGGTCACTGTCTGTGTTCACGATGGCTTGCACAGACGTCGAGCTTGGTCGCCTCTGCTGTGGCCCTATGTTTTCTTGTGGTCTTGACACGCAGTTGGTTTGCCTCAGCCCAGTTATCTTTAGACGTGCCCTCTTGTAACAGCTGCCTTCACAGTTCTTACCTTTTCCTGGGACCTGTTTTGTCCTTTGCCTTCCAGTTCCATGCACGATAACGGTAAGAAATAATAGGTAAATAATAGCTTTACTTACAGGAGGGGATCCACTTCATCCACCCCTGAAGTGCAGGCATGGCTGTATTTATGTACCAGCAGATAAAATGAAGGGAGAAATTTCGGGAGGCAAGATGGTACAAGCCCAGAGTGGAATTGAGCCAGGAGACGGAGGTTAACATCCCTTTACTTACAAGCAGGGCCCCTTCCTAGTCCACCAACGCCCCTTCATTCTTTATCTTGATTTGAGTGTTTTTATAAGAAAATATGGATCTGTTTTTAAATTAAATGTTGAGGGTTTCAGTTTTCTAGCTCCATTTTAAATAGCGTGATGCACCTTTTGTAAATTGGGCTACCTGTAGTGACGACAAGAGTAGGTGCAGCCTGACTTTGAGGAGCAACAGCAAAACTCTAAACTAATTGCGGTTGAAGCTACAGCAGAGCCCCCTTGCAGCAAGGTTTGGTTGTGCCAGCAGCAGCACTCCAAGCCTCTGCCAGCCCCCACTGGCACCAATGTTCCCAGAGTCGCAATCCTCCCATCGGTGATCTCAAGACAGGCCAGGAGGCCGTGACGCCAGGAGAGGGGATGTGGAGCAGTCAGACCACCCAGCCAGATCTGTTCCTGCTGATGTCGGAGGCCCAGGCCCAGGGGACCGGCCCCTAGTAACAGTACAGGTGGACAGGGATGATCCCTCTTGAGGATAATGCACAAACGAGAGGAGACTTCTTCCTAGAACATGACCACTATCAGTGGCACCTGCAGTGTGTGAGGAGGTGCCTACAGGGGACTCAGAACCAGCTTCAAGTGCTTCCCTCTACGAGGGGTCAGGTGCACTCTGTGAACTTCAAGTTGAGTGTTGAACTTAAGGAAATTTAAGAGGGTTGATGGTTAGGAGTTTTGAGGTCAAAATTCTTGTGATCTCATATATTGTCCCAGGGACTAGCTTCAGCAGTGACCTTATTCCTAATTGCCTGCTTTTCCTGAGCTCTGGGTGTCTGGACTCCAGTCACTGTTGAGCCTGATGGGCCCAGTTTGTGAACCTGGACCCGATACTCATTTATTTTATATTCTGGTCCTGATTTCCATGTGAAACTCTAGAAGTCTCCTCATTCACTTGGACGTCTCCAGGTGCGAGTGGTTTGCGCATCATGCCAGGCTGTGCAGTGCAGATTTTGTGTTTGAAAGTTATATCCAGCATTGCCTGTTGAGCATGTGCATGCGCTCGGGCACTGGAGTGGAGACAGGAAAGTTGTGTGGTTGTTGTTTTTCTTCTGGTCTCCTTGCTTGTGGCCGAGCGTGCCGCGTTCTGTGTTAGTGTTAACAGGAAGCTCTAATCGCGGTCATGCAGCAGTAGAGATGACTCAGGTTTCAGTGCCGCCCACTCTGAGGCAGACTGCACGATGCTCGCACACTTGGGACCTTCACCACGGACGCCTTTCGGCAGGACTGTGGGACTGTGGACATAAGCGCCAGGACTTTCGTTAGCCCCTGGTTAAAACTGTTCAATAGAACCCTTCTGTTGTTATAAAACAGGCACAGGTAATGAATCTGGCATGCAGCACCAAGCAGAAAAGGGAGAAGGCACCATCGCTGCAGTTTTTGGCAACCCAGCTTTGTGCTTCCTGCAGGGCCTGAGCTAGATGCTCACACAGAAGGCTTGTGATAACACTGCAGCGGGGAGCGATAAAGCCGAACAGTCCCAAAGGTTTCTTGCGTGTGTCTTGGCTAGGGCTCTGTATATTGTATATATTTATAGGGGCAAGGTAAGCCTAGAAATTTAATCTCCACCCTAAACTCCTCAGGAAAGTGTCTCGCACCTCACCTGTACATTGTAAGGCTTTCAGTTAAGTGACTTCTGCAGATAACTTTTTAATTTTCTTTTGTTGGGGCCTTGTTTGTATCTTGTTTGCAGGAGTGGTGCAAGAATGATTCTGCTGTTAGGGAGATGCTCAGCGTTATTCCCTGCGGCAGGCTGGTTGATTTTGTTTCTGTGCCGCTTCAGTCTCGGGATGCTAGCAGTGTAAAGCACGTGTGGGTGTCCGCAGTGTGGACGAGGAGCTGCACCTACACAGGAAAACTGCATCCATTCTTCTACGGTCTCCATGGAAACAAACTCACCCAGTTGGCAGCATTCTGAACCTGCAACGATTGATGCTGACCTCCAGTTAGGTGCCAAAATACATTTACTTGGATAAAGAATAACACTGTAAAATTATTAATCTGTTTTTAAAGCACATCCACAAACGAGAGGCCATTTGTTTTTAGTCTGTTCGGTAGTTAATCTGTCCAAGGATCTAGTTTGTTGAAGGAAGCCAGGGTCTTTGATACAGCAACATGGCTGCATAGCTTGTTACAGACTCCCACAGCTCTTTTGTACCTTCACAGTATGGTATGATCGTTTACTATTGGCCTTGGCTTACTCAGTGTGCAAGCCATTCGTCATGTGACCGGTAGCATTCTCGGCAGTGCCTTAAAGGAGAGCTTTCTCCAACTGGAGGAAGTGGCCAGCCCTGCGCCATTTGGGAATCCCTGTCGCGTGTGATTAATGATGCAGCCTGGGCTTGATCCCGTGACACCCCTGTGCTGTAGAGCTCGTGCTGTGAGCCAGAGTTACACGTACGGGCGGTGTGAAGTGACGTATGATTGTTCCTAGCTTGTTTCTGAAATCAGGATATCACTTATGTTTTACCAGGTGAAGCGGTTTTTCAAAGAGTCGGACTTGGCCATGTCTGCTGTGGTCAGCCTACATTCACTTCGTGGACTCCCATTAGTGAACTTGTAGTGGGGGAGAAAGAGACTTCTTCTCCTTCTACCGGTGGAGGTCAGCCATTAATGGGTTAAGAAAAGCAGCACTTGTTTTCAGACTGCCTTGATTTGCCCTCTGCTTTGCTCTCCCCTTGAACTGTTGCCCTGGGCCCTAAGGGGGAGAATAGAAACTGAGTGTCCTGCTGTCTCAGACTAATGCAACACAATATTAGGGCATCTGAGGTCAAAGCAGGAAGACAGCTGTGTGCACAGAAGGAATCTGAAACCATAGTGTTCAGGCCTAGGGAGCTACTGATCAGTAGGGTGTCATTTAAGTTACAGGAGGTGCTAGTGGTGTGGTTTCTGTGTGCTGACTACTCGGCTGCAGCTCAGCTAACTGGAGTGAAGGGAGAATTGTGAAGGTGGAGGACAAGCCAGGCCTGTCGTGGAGTCTGTGCCGGTGTGGGAACTGTCAGGAAACGACAGCTAAGAATAATCTATCTAAATTTCTCGGAGACCTCTGGACCCCACCCGGGGGATGCTGGGACAGAGGGTATTTAGAGCTATACTATTTAGGAACAGGAAAGTCCGACTGCTTCAAGCACACTATGCAGCAGTCTGGTCATTTGTTACAGTAAACCTTGCTAGCTTGTGCCCTTTAAGATAGAACCACAAATCTAATATTGTGTGTGCAAGGTGATATTACTTCCTGGCCTCTTTCAGTGCAACAGCTAGGCATGTTTTTGTTGTTGTATGTAGATCACAGTTTTTCTACTTTTGCAAAGTTGTTTTTTTTTTTCTGGGGAAGACAAATGACCAAGTAATGAGTTGTTTCACAAGGCTTCAGTTACGAGCAGTCACAGCTGTTCAGTGTATAGGTGTACATTGTGTACCTAATGGCATTCCTTCTGCGATGGGGACACTGATAGGTGCTGTTAATGGAGTGGGAACAGGCATGAGAGACAAAGGTTGGGCTGAGTTGAGAAACCACTCTGTTCCTGGAAGTCTTTACTCCCAGATGGAAATGGGTAAATGAAAGTGTTTCTCTTCCAGTTTTTGTAGGCATAAATAGTCTTTACCTTTGCAAAACTGCTTGCTTTGAAGCGATGCTTTTGCTGATACGATCAAAAGAAATTAACAGTGACTTCAGAGAGCCTCTGTTCTCTATATGGTTTCTCAATATAAGAAATGTGCAGAGCTGACAAAAGAGCTTCAACAATTAATGTTGAATCTCAGTTTAAACCAAATTCATTTTTTTTAAAGCAAGCACATTATTTTTTTAATTTCCATTTCTGTTTTGTTGATGTTGTTCGGGATGTTTAGCAATAAATGTAGCGTCAGACAGGAACATCTGTTCTATAAAATAAGTGCTGATTGGTAACCGCGGTTGTAATAAAATTGTTGACTTTGGTGGATACTTAGCTGGGAAAATATTTGACCTTTTAGCGTTTTGTTTTCAAATTGAAGCACACAAGCGAGGAAAAGCAACAGCCCTGATGCAGTTGGGAAGAAATTCTTGTCTACAGACCTGATGCACAAATACAGTAAAGCACTCCTGCATGCCACTCTTGATTACAAGACTCTCAATGTACATCACCTACGGTTATACTTGTACTAAACTCAAACGTGTGTCGGAGAATTAAGACCAGAGAGAAGAAGGAAGGCAGGAATCGTTTTGTCTTGGGGAAAACAACTTCAGAAAAGGTGCAGCTTAAAATACAGAAAAGGGGGCTGTTCATTGTAAACTGGGGCTTCAGATTGTTGAAGAAGGAAGGGCTTAAAGGAAGGAAACGGAAATCCTCCATTTTCAGAAAAGTGCAGAGTATTGCTAACCGCTCTGAGCTAGTTAGTGAGTGTTTGGTGAAGTAATTCGTCTAATAGTCAATTACTATATGGCGGTGGGTGGGTCTGAGGATCTGAGGATCTGCGACTGTGGCTGGACGGTTGCTAGCTGGTATCCTGCAGCCGGCGGAGGAATCCCATTCTGTTGGGCCCCTGAGCAGCCGTATAGATGGCTGACCCTGCGCTCTGACCCCAAGCTTCTCTCCCCGTCTGTGTGTCTCATGGAGAGTAAGCTGGGGTATGCGAAAAGATGAATTCCTAATGCAAGAAATTGTATATGGCCATTAAAGTGATCTTATCTCTTAAATCAAGAATGCTCATCAAAGCTTTGAAGGGCAGTTGGAAAGGACAGGAAATAAAGCAAGAGGCCGGCAGCTCAGTTCAGAGAGTACCAGTTTGTTGTGCATAATGTATTGGAATATGCTGTAGTACATTGGGGCTGACATGGTGTACTTTTCTCCTTTTTTGTCTATGAAATTTGTGTCTGGCTGCGCTACTTGATCTATTGAAGTCCTGTATATGGAATTCACCCAGACCAAGAAGGTTAGTCCTTCCCTTGAAATAATGGAGGTCGATGAAGTGGGTCCTCTTCCATACGCAAAGCACTCTGGGAAACGTGTACCATAAATGCAAGGCGTTAATTATCCTCTTGTGTTTACAGTCCACTTCATTGTATTGTTTGTCAGACATCTGTTATTTCAGAAAACATCGAAAGTAAATGAGCAGAGATTTAGTGCTGGTTCTTGAACTCTGTGTTTGTCATTGAAGGTACCTGGTGACTCACCTGATGGGTGCCGACCTCAACAACATCGTCAAGTGTCAGAAGCTCACAGACGACCATGTGCAGTTCCTCATCTACCAGATTCTGCGTGGCCTGAAGGTACAGACTCCTGATACATACAGGAAGGACAGAAGCAGTTGCCAACGACAGGAAGCCTTTCAGCCCATATAGTTTGATAGTTATTATTAGTTGCTATTATTAGAATTATTAGTTACTCATCCAGTTGTGTCTTGAAGGAATGCACTTTCACATACTTTCCAGTTTGATTTTGAATAGTTGAATCTGCAAGCCATAGAGACTGACCACCCAGTCAATAAGCAGATTTCAGATATGATGGGGTTCATACTTCAGGCAGGTACAGCACCTTGCCGGACCTTAGCTGAAGTTGTTGTAGGGCCAGTCCAAAACTGTCCACAGTTTGTGCAAAAATATAACTAGGTTTTATCATTTCACTCTCTGGTGAGTGGGATACGTGCATGAGAATGGGATCATGCAGTCCATTATTATAATCATATGGTAGCAAACACAAATTATATTTTAATGATGTGATCTTTAACCACAGAGGGAGCTCTGCAGAAGCAGCACTGTTTCTGCCCTGGCAGCCCTCTGGGGGCTATCTGCCTGGAGCAGCAGTGTGGTATGTCAGTGCTGTACCGTGCTTGGCATCACAACAGAGAGAATTTTAAGAACAGGCTCACTGCAGAAATATATTAAAATGTGTAATGCAGGAAAAAGTCTGCCCTTTGAGTCATCACGGTTAATGCTCTCTGGACTCTGCAGTTGAAAGACGCTCCTGTCTTTTTGATGCACAACTTGCCCATTTTATTTTTTCTCTTTTAGTACATCCATTCAGCGGATATCATTCACAGAGTAAGTGTCTTACTTTTCAGTTTTACAGTAGCCATGTGCACATTATGAAAGCACTTACAGCTTTTTTTTTTTAAACCTGGTAATTACTCCAGTGGAGATGAGAGGCAATTTCAAAACCACCTTCTTATCTATAAGCAAACAGTTTTTTTTTAATTTTAGGCCTTCCTCCCCCTCTCCCCCATCAGGGCTGGCTGTTGTCTTGGCTAGCCAAGCTGGTGGTGTTTTTTTTTTTTTGCCATCTGCATGATGTGATTTAATTGGCATTCGATTCCTGTGGAAGGGACAGAGTGGCTTGGACCGGCTTGCCCTGGCTGTCGGCTCGGTACCTCTGCCAGTCCTCCCTCTGTCAATATTGTCCCAGGTAATTAAGCCAACGGGCACGGCCCTGACTCTTGCATGCCGCCCTGTTACCTGCACTGGTACTGAGCTCAGGCCATGGAAGGAGCTTTAACCCCATTTACAAACACACAAAGTGGAGCTCATTTCCTCCCTGTGTGTGGAAGGCCTAAAGATACTGTTTATTTTGGGTGGGGGGAGGTGGGGCGGAAAAATCAGTGCTGCTTTGCACAGACATGACGTGCGCTTTGCTTTCCTCCGCAGGATCTGAAACCCAGCAACCTAGCGGTCAACGAGGACTGTGAGCTGAAGGTGAGAGAGCAGCGGTTGTGTTTGAAGCTACTTCCTTTCTGCCGGCAACCAGAGAGACACTCGTAGTCCTGCGTTTTCCCAATCTGGCTAAGGCAGGGGGACGCCGTGAAGGTAGATGGGGAGCGTGTGGGTGTAGGATCTGGAGCCCAGGCATCGGCGCTGTGACCGTGTCTGTTTCCAGACCGGGCCTTTGGAGCGAGAACGTGCTGCTGCGCGGTCAGAAAAGAACAGGAAGTTGCCTTTTCTTTGTGGAATCGCGCAGCCTGAACGACTGGGCTTTCTGTCTGTCCCCCCCCCCCCCCCCCCAGATCCTGGACTTCGGGCTGGCCCGCCACACAGACGACGAGATGACGGGCTACGTGGCGACGCGCTGGTACAGGGCTCCCGAGATCATGCTCAACTGGATGCACTACAACATGACAGGTGGGGCTCACACAGACGCATCCACAGGGGGCAGGCACCCGAGGAGTCGAGCAGGAGCCTGCCCGCTTTTAATCAGAGCGGCTTACAAAATAAGCCTTTTCAAAGTAATACACTACACATCTAGTTATCCCTTCCCGAGTCTCCTTCCAAACATTACCTTGTTATTAAAGGCTGGCAACACCTCATTGACTGATTAAGCTGAATGTCATTGGTTCTAATTTAAAAAGTTGATGTTGAATTGGGCCCTCAGATTTGCAGAGCAGTGCTCTATTCTACTTCCCCATACAGGCTCACCTCAAAGTCCAGTAAGTGGAGCCGGGAGGGTATAATGTCCTTCACAGACTATGACTGACAAGTGCAATTTGAAAATCTAATCTAGTCAACCCAGGGAGTTTCTTCTGTGTGGTTGTCACGGTTGACACTTCTGGTTTAGAGCAGGCGCTGTGTGGCACTGCAAACTTTCCACCTCGAAATCAGCTGGGCTCCAGGTGGCATCACCATGGGATTGGATTGGCTCAGCCGTGATTTAAGATTTGTGTCCACTGTGTGTGTTCTTCTCTTGCAGTGGACATTTGGTCTGTGGGATGCATAATGGCTGAGTTGCTGACTGGAAGGACATTGTTTCCTGGCACAGATCGTATCCTTTCAATCATATATCAGTACCTCAAGGCTTTAAAAGCTATTCCTTCATGTCGTTGAGTTTTTTTCTTGTTGTATTGGCCCAGGTCAGTGCCTCGGGCCTTACAGACGGGGCCTCTCGAATGTGCTCCTGATGAAAAGCAGCTCTTCTTGGGCTTGTCCTGGGCTTCTGTTTCTGGGACAGTATGCCACCTCCCAGCATGAAAACCGTCACGCAAGCTGAACCGAATTGTTCTCTCGCCACCCACCCTGACCGCCTTTTGTAGGAACGGTCTGTGGCACAGCTAGTTCAGTGCGCAAACAAGAGGAGCAGTTTTACAGTATGGCCTGCTGGTTAATATGAATTGTGCAGGTTAAGGTGCTTAATTCATTGCCTTCTGTTTGGCAGGTGGGTCACCTCCATTGAAACCCAAACCTAAGCGCTGTTCTGACTGCTCCCTGTAGCCTGTTAGGCGTGTGGTGTGCCACTGTGCGGACTACACTACATGTTGAGTCTGCAAACTGTCCCCCAGGCCTGCTTTCAGAGGCTGATGCCTTGTGCCGTATGTTTTTGTACCTTACTGAAGAGCTCTGAAGGAGGGTGTTGAAGAAGCTCTGACCTGCCTATGTGCCCTTGTGAACTCAGGCTGAACTGAACATGCCAGGATGATCTTGGGAGGGAGCAGCCCCTCTTGGCTTACAGCCTGTAATGTAAAATATAGTAAATTCTCAGCAAGTTGTCAATGTAAACCTGAAATAGATGGTTTATTGGTTTTTTGAACTGACAGAGCTATGGAAAATTTACATTTATATGATTTTTAATGTGCGTTTTCCCCACAGGCTGTACCTGAAAGCGGCATAACTAGTTTTTTTTTTATAGTGTATGTAAGCAATTTGTGTACATACTATAGTTGTTAATTTAAAAACAGCAGGTTTAAACTATTCAAATGGAATCCTTTCTGCTGGGATGTGGTGTCAGGGGTTCATACTTCAGGTAAAGAGTTCCCTCTACATCAGCGATTGCTTTGGTGTTTTTAAGATTAAAAGAAGCAGCTTAATTTAATGTGTTGATGAGCAAAATGACAGTGTTGTGATTTGGGGAATCGGGAAATGTGCAAATACAACCAGAAAGGATCCTGTTAAGTGTTCTTTTGGGGTGAAATGATGGGATGTTTCTCCCAGACTTATGATTTTGGGTTGAGTAGCTCGGATCACAGCCTGGGAGCGAGGACAGCAATTGCAATTGCCCTGCAGTGGCTGCGCCACTCACTTCTCGAGGACACCCGTCTGCTACGGGACCCCACATGTTACGTTCCCCAGCTGAGATCACGAGGCAGGTTCATTCTTTATTCAATGGTAAAGTGCAGTCCAGCAAGAAGCTGCTGCGTTTGTCAGGAGTGGTCCTGTAACTAGGAAATAAATCAAGAGCTGTTCTTTCAAAAACAACACTGGGGCCTTGAGATGTAAGGTGTTTGCCCCATCTCTGGATGGTGCCAAACCTCCTGTAGGTCCCTACAAAGCTCGTAGTGTCAGAAGACAGCTCATCCAGTGGGCAGCTCCGAGCCTTTCTTTCTGCAATTCCTCTTCCTGCCATTGCTGGCACAGGAGTCACTCCTATGATCCCCGATTTGAACACACCATCACAAAATCTGAATAGATTCCATATAAAAAAGTCATTGGCTATTCTAAAAGTTAAAAAATCAACCACACAGGAAATGCACAGGAACAAGGTTAGTCAGCGAACCTCCCAGGCCAGGTAGTGCTTTCACCTCCTCAGCTGTGATCTGGGTGCACACCTCTGTGTGGTGTTTTGTTGATTTTGTTTGGTGGTGCCATGCATGGTTGTGTGAACTCCTGGATCGCTGTGCCCCTGTGTTTTGTGCTGTAGCTGTGCACGCCCTAGCAGAAGGTTGTGCCTGGGCACACCGGAGGCACAGCTTGCGCTGCCTGCAGCCAGGAGTGAAGATGCCAGTACAATCACATGGGCCTGCCTGCTCTCTCACCTCTCACCTTTCACCTCTGTGTGGCACTAATCCTGCTTCCTGACCCGCCTCTAACACCCACTGTGCCTAACCGCTCTCTCATCTCCCATAATTATTTTTTCTTTCTCAAAGGCTTGAAATATGAATGAAAAACTGAACTGAGCGTTCAGCATGCCAAGATGTTCGTTCGAGCTGTTTTTAATGTTAGGTGGCTTTTAGTGTGTGTGAAAAGGCATGTATTGAGCAACTTTTTTTAGACATTTAAATGTAGAGTCTAGAATTCTTGATTCTCAAGCGACTTTCTGATGGTAGCAGCAGCTGTGCACAGTTAAAATAAAATCACTCTGTAGAAGAATTTTTATTTAAAATGTTTTTTTTTCCCCCACTGTGTGCTGATGTCAGCTTTGCATTTCCACAGTAGTACATGTGGTCTAAATTAAACTCGCAAAAGCAGACACGACACAATGTGGCTTCTTCATGACAGATGCATTTTTTTTAAAAAGAGCGGCTGTTGTGTCTTCTGTACATTCGGCTCGTCCGTCTTCCCTGGGAAGTTGTTCACCCAAGCTGTCCCCGTCATCAGAGTACTGTCGCCAGTTCTTTCGGCAGTCTTGTCTAGTTTTTGCCAAAGGCTCCCAGTATCTCTCCCGCTTCATGCATTCAGGGATTCCAAACACCTTTCTCCTGCACCTTGTCCTGCGTTGAAGGAAGACACCTCGGAGTTTGTAGTTTATTCTTTACACAGCAAGCACGTGCTGACATCAGACTCCCAGAGCGTGAGTAAGGGAAGCTGAGGCCAAGGGAAAGGAGAGCTAAGGGAAACTGAAGCCAAGGGAAAGGAGAGCTAAGGGAAACTGAAGCCAAGGGAAAGGAGAGCTATGGGAAGCCAAACCATAGTCTAGTATCTCTGCAGGCGATGGTGGGCAGGGATCCATTGCAGTGCTTTCTTGTCGGCATTTTAGCTTTTTTGGCTTTGTTTACTGCTTCCTTAACTGCCACCTTTGACGTTTAACCCAAATGTAGATTTTCTTTTTAGTTTGCAAAGTGATTTTTTTTGGGGGGGAGGTGAGAAACAAGCTTCAGCTAAGCCTTCTTTGTGTTCTTCTCCACAGACTTTCTCTGCAGCACTCGCCAGTGACAGCTTGGCGTTTGTGGTAGTGGGACAGCATGAGTGTTTTTGTTTTAAAGCCTGACACAGTTGCATAAAGATACGATTTGATTAAAGGGCAACCGCATCAGTAAGAATAACGTGAATGCACCAGTCCAATCTGCTTCACCGTGTGCGCCTCACGCCTGTCTTCATCCCAGTATTGGTTCTGCCACACCCCCGGAGCCACTCCCCCTGCGTTTTCCTTTATGTTGGTGTGATAGATATTGATCAGTTGAAGCTAATTATGATGCTCGTCGGGACACCAGGGCCAGAGCTCTTGATGAAAATATCTTCAGAGTCTGTGAGTTTTTTTTCGTGTTTTTGTCACTTTTGCCTGCATTGTTTTTCTCATGTAGTGAAAGGCCTGGTGATTTAATACTACTTATTTGATTCATTGATCATCTTATCAGTCTGTGTGCCTATGTAGCATGTCTAGCGGCGTCTGTGCGTTTTTATTGGTTGTATAGATAGTAACAGAATCGAGAAGACCCCTGATCTGCAAAGCCAGCAGGGGAGTGGGAATAAAACTAAAAATCGCACTGGTGTTTCTTGCCATTACTACTTCAACGTATTCGGCAGTGATCTCTTCAGACTTTTTTCCCCGAAGAATAAATTCATTCACGTTTGTTTTTTCTCTTCTGCACCTTGCTCTCCGTTAACGCATGTCTCCTCCTAACACTTGCTATTCTAACCCTGCATGGTCTGAGCTTTTTCCTCCTCCTTTCTGCCCCCTCTCTCTTTCCCCACCCCCATTGTCTTGAGAGTGGTTGATACCCCCTTTTATATAGGACCTCACCCCATCGTGGTGACCGTGGAGGGGTGGGGGAGTGAAAGCGAAATCGTTCTGCGTTTTGTTTTAACTTGTGTGTTTGCCGACAACCCCCTTGACCTGGGTTTTAAAGATATAAACCAGCTTCAACAGATAATGCGGCTGACAGGAACCCCTCCTGCCTCTCTAATAAGCAGGATGCCAAGTCATGAGGTGAGCCAGTCCCTCCTCCCCGAGAGAGATGCACCACGTTACCACACACCAGGCACACGGGGCAGGCTGGCACTGCGGCCTTGCTGGGAAGGGACACAAAAGACTCTTGTACTGCTGCTGTAGAACTAGTCTTGGGGAGCAAAACAGCGGCTGAGTTCACACTTCACACTTCATGCGTTTGTTGTACAGATAAGCCCAGAGCCTGCCTTTATTTTTTTAAACCCCAGCGACTAGATGGCCTTGGTAAAAAGGGAGCGGTTCTGGTTTCGTTTGCTGAACATGGGCCGGGCTGTCCTTCAGATGTGTGAATGCACATTCTAAATCTTCTGTGCTGGAGACTTTGGCGTACACTGAGGGTTCCTGTGCCATTCAGAGAAATGAGAACAGAACAGAGCTGTTTCTTTGGCTGGACGGGTTCCAGGGCATTTTGGGACTGCTGGCGTTCGGGGTTTTTGACTAGCCAGGCAACACAGAAAACCTCGACGGCATGTTTGCAAACTCGCACTGGCATGTTTACAAGGAGCAGTGAGCAGCACTTAATCTTCACCATCTCACCTCGTTGATGTGCTGGCAGTGGTTAAACATGAGATGCTCCATTGTTTGTGTGAGTATTTAACGGATGAAGGTATTGTTGCACAATACAGGCAAATTATAGCACTGCAGGAGATGCACCCACATTTTGATTGGATCTTGCAATGCCATGATTTGCATAGCACGGTTACCCAGAAATCTAATTTGCTAATTTAATCTATTTTAACTTTAAAATTGCCATTAAATGCAAGTTCCTTTACACTTCATTTCAAATTTTCCATTTCAAAGTTGCATAAATGAGGAAAATGTTATTAATAGAACAACCACTGCGCAAACATGTTTTAGGAAAAGTCATTTTTAACATGTTAGTTTTAAGATGCATTTCAGTTTAGGAGGAATTCAGGAAAGTAGGTTGGTTTTCAAAATACATTTGGAACTTGAGCAGTACAAGTTTACATCGGTTCCAACATGCAACAGCACAGCTGAACAATAGCTAGGGCAGATGTCAAAGGCACATTTCCCCAAGGGTGAAGAAATAGCTCATTACTAATGCTAAATAAGCAGGCGAAGAACTTGTCCTGAGGCAACTCCCAGTTAAAGGTGGAGAGATTGTCTAGTTTCATTGAACTGGCTTTCCCTCTGGAAAAACTGAAGTGAAGAAAAATGATTTCTCCTGACGACCCACCCTTCGCATCGGCGATCTCCATTCTGGCAACATGCTCTGCCTTTCTCCTCTCTAGCTGCTCCCCCTCTCTCTCTTCTATCTGGGTCAGTCTCTACCCAGGACACTGTGGTCTCACATCATGCTGAAATTGCACAGCAGAACAACGGGCACTGCACCCCTGTTTAAAACTAGTCTCTTTGCCAGTATTTGAATGACTTTCTGTCAGTGGGAGGGCTTTAATTTACGAATGCCTCAGCATTACAATTTGTGGTGATTAAAGAGTGACCGTGCTGTGTCTGATAGGATTGTGACTGCAGAATTGCACGCTGAAATTTTTCAAATGTGAACGCACCTTGCTTTAAATGCAGAGATGATTGCTTAAAATCACACGTTTTCCTGACTTGAACACTGTGAGCAGGGTTTGGGTGACATTTACTGATACTGAATGATTCTGGAGAAAGTGTTTTTGTTTTAAAGGTTTTTGCCCCACATCTGAGTTTTGTTGAACTTTTCTGACAGGCGAGGAACTACATCAACTCCTTGCCACATATGCCAAAGAGGAACTTTGCTGACGTTTTCATCGGAGCCAACCCTCTGGGTAAGGACAGGGGCGGAGAGGGGCTGGTTCCTGTAAGGAATCGGGTGACTTGGGTGAAAGCTTTGCCGATACCAACCAGCCTGTGTGACTGCAGCCTGGATGTATTCTGATATGCAAAGACAACTCATCGTTTGCTTCTTGGGCAGTGGGCCATGTTTTTGATAGTAGAGAGATGGGTTTTCCAGTTGAACAGTGATATTTTTCAGGATAGAAAAATACTAAACGCATGTCATTTCATCAAAAACAAAGCCCGGTGTTTGGAATGTTAAAAGTGTCAACATGAATTGCTACGAATCCTTAAAAACAGGCATTGAAAGTGAAAAAAACAAACAAACTACAAGCTTCTATGTGGTTCCCACTTAATTGGTGGCAGATGTTACTGGAACATTCTCACATTTTTGTTACATACAGTAGTTGTAGAATTCTACGGCGATCGAATTTTGATGGATGCATTTTTTTAAAGTTTTAATTACTTATGATTGTCTTCTTTCCCTCTCAATTAAAATCTTTAGATTCTTTGGGGGGGAACAGCCCTGCCCAAGTGCATGTATTTATTTTGATCTTCATATTAATGACAAGAACATGGAAAGACACAGCCAACCTTCTTGAGTCATGAATGCTTCACAGGTATTGGCAACAGTTTTTCCACTCCTGCAAGTGGAAAATCCAAAAATGCGAAGTTTCCAGCAGCAGGGTACAAGATCACTCAGTGCTGAGTTACACTGGTTCTTCTTGTAACACTAGCGTGACTCTGGCCGGGCGTTTGTCCTAATCTGACTCTGTCGAATGTGTCTAACCAACTTGCCTGTGCTTTCGGCAGGAGACAGCTGCTCCAAACCTAACTGCCAGCAGACTGGAGCTGCACGGCACCAATGGTGTGCTTGAACGTAGAATCAAATTTATAATAGAAATATTTCCTATTCATTTTTCAATTGGAGCTAGAGGTTCCTCCACTACACTCTGCTGGCCTAGAGGATAAACTGCTTTCCTGTTACAGTTTCATGTGGATCAACAGGTTGCGCACCACTTCTTATGAAGCATGCGTGAGTGTTGCTTGCTCTGTGCAGAAATGCCCAAATTGAGCTTGGAGGTGTGTGCTGTTCACTGGGAGCATGAGTTTCTCAAGGCTGCACTGTTTTCTTCTCTCTCAGCGGTGGACCTGCTAGAGAAGATGCTGGTTCTGGACACAGACAAGCGGATCACCGCAGCAGAGGCGCTGGCCCACCCTTACTTTGCTCAGTACCACGACCCAGACGACGAGCCTGAAGCCGAACCCTACGACCAGAGCTTTGAGAGCCGGGAGCTGGAGATCGAGGAGTGGAAACGTGAGTATCTCTCACTCATCTGTCCCTCTCCACTGTTCCCCTGTTGGGGCATTAACGCAGAATTTTTCCGCCTGTGCTCAGACTGCTTGTTCTTCTAATTTAGACTCGCCAATTATTTGCAAACCCAATTTGCTGTTTGCAGCTATGAGTCCCAAGACTTTGCACCCGAGAGACTGAGGAAGTGTAGGCAGACTTCTTGGATCCACCCACCTTCGAGCCTCTTGTCTTTTAACACATTGCTGAAATCACAGCCTCATACAGGAGGTTCAGCACTGACTGGAGGAGAGGCATGTGCTTGCTGACATCACCACATGCCTGCAAGTGCCTGGAAGGCCACAGGGGGTTGCTGTGTTGCCCTGGCCGACTAATTTCCACGTTGTCATCCTTACTCCAGTCCTGTTCCTGCACACAGCTGGCTGAGCACTGCTGTCTGGGTTATGCTGGTCACATGATCCAGGCTCGAATCTCAGTAACTTCAGAGTTCAGCATGCATTCCGGTGGTTGAGCCACTCGGTAGGCTATCAGCTTTATCTCGGAATAGATCACTTTCTCTTCATGTTTTCTGCAGTACTTTCGGGTATTGGTGTGAACATGGTAATTAAATACTTAACTAAAGGTTTTCTTATAATGATTTACTGTGGCATACTGCTGTAAAAGTTGATCAAGGTGATAAAGCATGGTAATATCACAGAGGCTTTGAGAAACGCATGTTACAAAGAATGGAAAACAACAGAAAACTAAGTGCATTGTAAAATCTTGCAAACGTGTCTAATTGCAGAATGAGATTGACAGTATAGTGCATCTAGACGTCCTTACAGAACAGAGGAGTAGTAACTAGCTCATTGGGAAAAGTGAGTGGAGTTGTGCACAGCTTAAGCAGGGGTGGTGAGGCTCACACTTCTACTGATGTACTGCAGAGTCACTGGTGGCAGTCGTGTTCAAGCTGCGAAATCAAAGACGTCTTAAAATATTGCCAACCTTCCTGCAGAGAAAAACAGCCTCCAGGAGGTTAACCGGTGATCCAATTTCCTGTTCTGTTTGCTGCGCAGTCTGAAGGCGAAACGGCCGTCTAGAGAATGCTGTCTCCAGAAGGGCGACTGTGCCCCTGTAGTAGAGATGGGCTCACTGGGGTGCTATCTTCTGTCTCCCCCAGGCCTGACCTATGAAGAGGTGATCAGCTTCGAGCCGCCGGTCTTCGATGGTGACGAAATGGAGTCATGAGGCTTTAGGGGGACATCCAGTCCGTTAGCGCCTGGCTGCTCTCCGGACTTTCTGAAACCACCGTCATTCAAGTGCCTGTTATAGCTCAGTGCTGGGTTCCCCTTGGGGGTTGCAAAGGGGCAAAGGCGATTCTTTTTGTACTTTTAACTGTTTTATTTTCTCTCCTGCTTGCAGTATTGTGTTGTGTGGAAACACTCTGGATAGGTCTCAGAACTGAGTCCAAGACTTCCCTTTATATAATCAGTTAAAGGAAAAGGAAAAGCAGTTGCCGGATTGCCTGTTTTTAAAGCTATAGTTTAAAAGCAGACATGCCATTTATAATGCAGACTTAATAATAAGGTAGTCTTTTTTAGAGTTGGGAGAAATTTAGTATTTCTAAAGAAAACGGGAGGAGAAAAAAAAGCTCCCGACAGTTTGTATCTGTTGCATGACTTGTCCATTTCTGCTGCTGAGAATTGTTCAATTAACAGGCGCAGACCTGTGAGCCAGTGCGGTATACAGCAGTGGTTTCCCATGAGGCTGTGCAAGTTGACAGTGTGCATTGATCAGCTTACTGCCCGGAGCTGGTGTTCCTCGTTTTAAATGAAAGGAAAGGCTCATTTTGTACGCAGGGAGATCTTTATGCAACACGGATGAGCACTGTGCTGTCGGCAGTCGCTCTGCAATGGCGAGTCACCGATGGAATTCAGCAAAGTTTTCCTGTTTCAAGCCATAGCGCTGATTCCAGACCGTGACCTTCAGTGACACAGCGGTGCCTTGACAGAAACGGGCTTCTCCTGACCGATTCTGCTGTTACCAGAGCTCGCCTGTCAGCTCTTCTTTGAGGAGAAGAACCTCGGTTTTTTGGTGCGTGCTTATTTCTGTCATTATAAGGGGCTCCCAGGATGCTTTGTCTTGTTTTATTGAATACAATGCGATACATAGCTTGAATGGTTATTAGTTCATTGTGCCAATTTTCCACCTCTCAACCAAGGCTAGCGCAAAGGCTTTTGCCTGTGTTTAACTTGTCCATTGTTATAAAATGTACCCCCTCTGCCTTTGTTTTTGCATTGCATCGGTGAATAAGGAAGGTTGTTAAAAGACGGCATTGTTATAGCCTGGGGTTTCCCCTTCCTCCAGTAACCGGAGCGGAGGACTCCCGAGAGAGGAGGGGGGATGGCGTGCCTGCACTGCCTGAGAGCGGCACAGGTGAGTAGGGAAGACTGAGAGGCAACTTCTCTTGGTTGAATCCCAGTGGTTGTGCCCCAGAGCCCTGCCTGCTTTGGTCTCCCATCCCTACTCTTAATTGCTTGAGTGAACTAACGAGTTACCCAGCTGAGCCATTAGGCACAGGCCCTCCTCTTTAAGCTGCTGGGTCATTTCGAGTTCACCTGAAGCCCGTTGAAAAGCAGCTGGAGTGGCGATAGCTTTGGACAGCCTGGTCACCGGCAGGTGGGACTTTCATGGCCAAGACTTGGTACCAGCTCCAGTGTAGGTGGCAGGGTGGTCATGTTTCTTCGTTATTATTTTTGTTTTACCTTCTGTTTTTGGTGTGACCTTGTGTTAAAGAGAAGCCTTTGATAACTTACCAATTCAGTTTGTCACAGTACCTTATTTATTGTAGCTTTCCACTATGAGTTTTAGGCATGTAATCCCCCCGCCCCCTTCAGGCTTCTGCAAGCACTCTGTTAGTTTGTCTTAATGTACATTGCATCGCATACTGACCTGTGCACAAGGCCTGAGGAGAAGCATCTTAGCTTTCATCTTTTTTTTCCCATTTTACACCTGGTATGATTGGCAGTTTGAAAAACTACAGTTATGCTGAAACAAGTAGTTTTTTGGGGATTTGGTTCTGGCTTACTGAACAACAGCCTGGCCTTAGTGGTGAGGAATCTCCCCTGGTTGGGCGGAGGTGCCCTTCCTCCTGATTGTTTCCCTTCAATCCCTTCTTTTGCCGGGATTGAAGTTGAGAAATCTGCGTGAACGTTAAAGCCGCCAGCCTGAAGAGCTGTTGTCCTAGCCTGTGCTAGACGTTCGCTCGGGGAGGTTATTTTAAGCGCGTGGGGAGGAGGTTATTGTTCCCAGAGCTCTCAGCTTGACGGCCTCTTGTTGCTGTCAGTCGTGTCTTTCCGTTCGCACGGGCAGTGAGCCGCCGTGGGAGGAAAGGTGCATGCCCTGGTCATCCAGAAGCTCTCTTCCAGCTCCCTGCTTCCCCCCGGTGCAAGGGCTCCAGAGGGCCGGTACCCACTGCACTACAGCACCGTCCCGCTCAGAGGTGCTCTCCCCTCGGGGGACCAGGCCGTGCAGTCCAGCGGGCTCTCTAGCTCGTTCTGAATCGTTAGCAATGCGAGAGCTGCGGAGAAAAGTGGAGTCATTCCCCTTGCCTTCAATGGATGACAAGCAGAGATCAAGAAAGCATCCAGATCTCACAAGGTGGAGTAAACTCTTAGGACTATAGTGATGAAAATAGAAGGTTGAGGGTGTGAATCCTGGGTGGGGGACTGGGTTACCTTTTTATATGCATGATAATTCACTCCAGTAAATTGCACAGCTGCGCTTTAGTTAAGTTTGTCAGCTCCTCCTAATTAAGCAAAGGCTTGGTTCAGTTAAGCTATTCAGGTCTCAGTTGGAATGAAGACAGGAGGAGATTATGGGGGCAGACCTCTGTCCCTTAAAGAGAGATTGTGAAGATGCTTGATGTAAAGCAGAATGATCCAACTCTGGGCCTAAAAGGCTGATTTGTCTGTACGTCCACCTGAGTTCTTGATGAGCTCATTATTGGATCAGCTCAACAACATCTTCCAAAACTTTCGGTGCTTCTGTTTTAAAGAGACATATAAATCTTGCAGATGCTGTGGCCATACAGTACTGAAGACCTGTTAATTGCATTAACTTGGTACTGAATTCTGGGAGTTCAGATTTTTAGCAGTCGTGTTAAAATAGTGGGATAACCTTTGTTCCTGGTGTAATGCTCATGTGACCCACTCTTGTTTGGACTGGGGCCCGAGCTTAGTGAGGATTAAGGTGCTTCTCCTTCACCACCACAAAACATGCCCAAACCAGCAAAACTCAGCCCAGAACATGTTTTATAAATATAAAATAATTCAGGATGTACATAAATATATCAATAATAGCATTTTTTTTCTTTTAAAAAAAACTTATTACTGTGTTTTCATGATATAGTATTACTTGATCTCATAAAAGCAATATCTGTAACAGGCATGTCTTTCAGTGTGTGCCCGTTTGTGTGTGCGTGTATGTGTGTGTGTTTTCAGGAATTTGAAGGGCAATGTTGAAACCACAAATTGTAAATTCATAATTAAAAAGGTGAGAACGTTAGATTCAGATATTTATATCCTGGTGCGCCAACAAGCTCTGGAGTTCAATATGTAGTTTTTGTTTGTTCTGAGGAAGGGATAGACCTCCACTGTACAGAAGTAAAGACTCGCATTATTTTGTGTACTTAAACAATTCACCATATTGAACTGTGAAACCACGGTAGAGTAACCATAACGTACCACTGTTTAAAAATAAAGGCTATTATTTTTCAATCTGTTGTCTTTCTCATTTTTTTATAACTTTTATGCTTTCCAACATGAAAATTGCCCTGCTCTTGAAGCAATAAGTGTTGAATAAAAATAAAAAAGCAGTAAAGTTATGCAATGCACTAGGGATGACTTCATTTGTGATGTTAGGCAGTTCTTGTCCGCCTTGCTACAATACATACATTACTGCAATTGTTTTTTTTTTATTTTGGAGAGCTCAAGAGAAGAGCAGTTGTAGTCATTCCAGGTCTAGAAAGCATGCTTTCCATGCACTACTTGAGCCAGTAGTTCCCAGTCCTTGGCTTGGTGATGCACACACCTGTTGCTTTTTGTTTCAACCAAGCCCTCACTGATGCAATCAAACCCTGCATTTACTTCATTAACTTCAATAATAGGATTAATCTGTACTGTACCAACTCTTGAACGTATTGGTGCTTTTAACTATTGTATTTTGAAAATGAAATAAAATACCAAACTTGTGACTAGAAACAATGCAGATATCAAATTGAAACAATGTCTTTGATCTTGTAAGGCTTGATTTATCTAATTAAGGTGAGCTGGAATGAAAACTGGCAGGTGAGCAGTTCACCAGGACTGGGAACCAACTGGCTTGAGGGAAATTGAACCCGTCAGTCATTGATGGAAAAGATAATGAGGGGGGTTGATCCCATGAAGAAATTCCCAATTTGGCTCCTGAAGACCACACACCTCCCGGGTTCCACTCCATCTGAGCCGAATTACCCATTTGAAACCAGGCATGCACTAACAACTTGATTGTAGTAGTTGTGAGTTGTTTTTCCACTTAAAACATTTAGCAGAACTCAGTGTGATAGTTGCTGTCAGTCAGATTTAAGAGCTCGGTACGGTCAAACAGTTCAAATTAATTGTAATATATTTGTCAATTACATACATTTTTAAGCTAAATGCCTGCAATCCCTCAGGAAACAAAAGTTTCTAACATTCAATTAAGATTAATTGAATAGCTTTCACTTGATGTTAGCTGGTATATTATGTTCTATGTAGATAAACTAGAAAAGACCTCTATTGTGGTCTTCAGTTTTTTGCGAGACTGGTCTTCGTTGAAAACGAGAAGTACGTTTTAGATTGTCTTATAAATTAGCAAGATTAAGGTGAACTGAAACACTGGGACAGTGGCCTGGACTGTGGTGGAGAGGCAGCCAGTCATGACACACCCATGGAGCCAAGATGTCGGCAGTCTCTTCACTGAGCTGCCTGGGGAAGCTGTAATATAATAATAATTGCCTACACTTATATGGCGTTTTTCTGGACACTCCACTCAAAGCGCTTTACAGGTAATGGGGACTCCCCTCCACCACCACCGATGCGCAGCATCAACCTGGATGATGCGACAGCAGCCATAGTGCGCCAGAACGCTCACAACACATCAGCTCTCAGTGGGGAGGAGAGCAGAGTAATGAAGCCAAGTCAAGTCATAGTTAGGAGACCGTGATTGGTAAGGGCCAATGGGAAATTTGGCCAGGATGCCAGGGTAACACCCTTACTCTTTTCGAGAAACGCCCTGGGATTTTTAACGATCACATCGGGATTTTTTACATCTCATCCGAAAGATGGCACCTGTTTACAGTATAGTCCCCGTCACTACACTGGGGCATTAGGACCCACATGGGCCACTGGGTGAGCGCCCCCTGCTGGCTCCATAAACACCTCTTCCAGCAGCACCCTTAGTTTTTCTCAGGAGGTCTCCCATCCAGGTCCTGACCAGGCTCACACCTGCTTAGCTTCAGTGGGCTGCCAGTTGTGAGTTGCAGAGTGATATGGCTTAATGGCGATATATAACTGACCAAAGGAACCTGCATCATGTTCCTTTCAACATCAACATCTAGTCGACATGAGAACACCACCGGACTCGGTAAAGAAACGCTGCAGTTGCGGACAGTTTACAAGCTTACGCTTCAAGAGCCTTGATTGTGAATAATAAAAAGTCACGACGGCTTTTATTTTACATTTGTGACAAATTAATTTATTTTCAAAGAAAGTGGACTCTATAAAGTTTTTAACATAAATGTGGTTGACCCGAAGATTTTCTGAAATTAAAAACACAAAGGAAACAAAATAAAAGCAGTTACGTGTTTGTGTGGTCTGTTTTATAGATGGTGCCTGTGATTAAGTCTAATATTTGATAATTTGACGGGTCGTGAGATTTATAAAATAGCCTTCATGTAAAATATTCTTGAACCGTACGTGGGGGAAAGTTTTTTCATCAAAGTGCAGAGTTCCAGAAAGGAAGGGTCAATCATTCAGGAATATACTGTATTGCTGGTGTTTGTGATGTTGGGTGCTGCAATGCTATCTGAAATCATTTGTTATTTTAGCCTCGTTTGGAGACCTTAGCAATAAAAAATCCAACCGACTGTATTACAGTAACACTTCAATTGGTGGAAACTGCAGTGCGGGATGTCCATTTCCCTATTGTAAATATGTTAGTCCCATGCGCTTCCCTGCCAAGTTCCCGTGACTATTGTGCGCCACCTGGTGGATACTTCTCAGAAACACACAACACTCTTAAGAGCTATCCAGCACAGAAGCGATTTACAACGCCTCAGAGAAGGTTATAACACATAATAATCATCCTTATACTTTATAAAGCTCTTTTGACACTCTACAAATTACAAGTCATAGGGATTCGACTCCACCACCACCAATACGTAGCCCCACCTTGAATATGTAGCCAGTACACATCAGCTGCTATCAGTGAGGCCAAAGATAAGGATTATTAGGAAGCCATGATTGGTAAAGGCCAGGGAGAAATTTGACCAGGGCACTGGGGTTACATCCCTACAGTTTTCAAGAAATTCCCTGGGATTTTTAATGACCATGGAGACTCAGGACCTCGGTTTCACATCTCATTCGAAGGACGGTGCTTTTTTTCAGGATTGTGTCCCCATCACTATACTGAGGCATTAGGACTCCAGTTGGACCCTATTGGCCCCACTAACACCTCTTCCAGCAGCAACCTTAGCTTTCCCAAGAAGTCTCCCATCCAGGTACTGGCCAGGATCACACCTGCTGAGCTTCATGACACACATGACTTTTGAAAGAAGGTATTTACCCAAGAATACCATAAATTTAGTCATAAAGCTCTGGCAACCAAAATCTGATTTTGGCCTGTTCTCTTAGGCGCTTTTCAATCTACATATTAACACATAAATTGTAAAGAACTACTAAGGTATTCGCGTCAGAAATTTCATTTTTGTAACAGTTTTGTAAACAAAGCATAATTTTTTAACACTTGTTGTTTTCAAATATTTTCTTGTCTTTATTATCTATCCTCAAATGGATGAAAGCGATCTTAATTTAGAAACCATAGAACGGAGAACAATAGAGCACGACGTGCCCAGTGTTGTCACCTAGTCCCGAATGCAGCCGCATAGCAACAGAACAGGTTTATTAAGTTACTCTAAAACTTAAATTAATTTATATTGCTGCTAATTACCGGGCGAGGCCTGGCCATAGGCTTATTTGAATTAAATAAATAAATAAAAAAAAAGCATTTACAACGTGTTTCCAATTTTTCTTTGAATACACCCGTCATTGGCAGCCATTCTTATTTAAAAGCTGCCGTTTACAACATTAAAGAAAAACTAGCTGCAAATGATCGAGTTAAACGGAAAGTACAAAATTACTTTCCCAAGTCGTAGAAGACCTTTGCGTTGTCGGGCAAAAATTAAGCAGCAATTCGGTGAAGGCTTAGCTCTCAGTTTCAGGGTAATGTTCAAATTCTGTTTTGTCTCCGTCCAGGGACATCTTAATTAACTACATCACCGGGATTAATTAAGCAATTAAACCTCAATTTGGCACTTAGATTTATCAGAAGGTTCGGTTCTGGAATGACCACAGACATAGGCGCCTGGGTTATCTATCCTAATAAATATTGTGCTTTCCTTTCGTCGGAAAACTTTTAACTTTTAGGAAGCCCCTTAATTCAGATTTACAATAGACGATTACCAAAGCTAGCTACACAGAAAAAATGCTTTTCGCTTTATCAAAATGAATGTGATGAAAACAACAATTAAACAATATTTTAAGGTTTAATTTGCCTTGGCGCTGTATGGCTGATTCTATTATCACTCGGAATTCAGTCAAATGTCTTAGATGGTGAAATGGTCCAAGTCTATTACATCTGCTAGGCGTCCACACTCCCCCCAGCACACAAAGGCAGCTAACAATTACAGAGATCAATCTGTCAATCGGTAGTTAATTGATTTGAACGCTGTGCGAATTAAAATTGAATCGTTACCACGTGGCTGGTGCTAATTGCTAGTGGCACTATAAAAACAACCAGCCGCTCCTGCACATAACATCTTTCAGGCTTAGTGGAGTTTGATTAGGAATTTACAGGTATATTTTCGTTTGGGTTCCCGCTGAAATGGGGCGGTGTTTCTTTGTTTTCTGCTTTTACGCCGGGTTATTACCCGTATTGATCCCTGCCGAGACAGGCGGCTGGGACACCCTGGAAGAGCAGGACCGGTCTGACTTGCAATGGCCGCGCGACGAACCGGAGAAATACCGCCGTGTCCGACCCGACGCGGGAAATGCAAGCAGGCTCTTGCTTCGAAAGTACTATAGCCTTCCAATGTCCAGAGACGTTCAGTTTCCCGCGGTGGTCAAGGAGACGTTCAAGCCTTCCACTGATAGACGGCCCCTGCCGCAGCACGTCAGGAAAATCCTCCTTCCTCACGTATACTGGCGAAAACCGAAACCCGCAAGACCCGACAGGCGCTCGGGGGTGCTGGTGCTGTGTGGCTACAGCGAGATCTATGTGAGAATCCCTCGAAGTGTGCACGGTTTCGCCTGCAAGCCGTCGGAGTTGACCCTGGGGAACTGCAAAGTCAGCAAAACTACACGCGGGTACTTCTATTTCAAATACAGCCTCCACGAATGCGGAAGCGAGTGGTCGGTAAGTCTGCTCCGCGCTCGGAGCGGGTCCGGTATTCGCTGTGGCAAATGTGTAATGGCCTCTGAACAACTAGCAGATTGATTACTCGTCGCTTTCCTGGTGGCAAACGCAAGTCTAAGCGGGACCTCAGTGTGGGGGAAATTCTCTCACCAGGTCATTCGTGGCCAGCTGGTGTACTCGAACACACTGCGGTATACCCCATCTGTGCCCCAGGGTCCTGTTATCCGAGCCATTCCCTTCACTGTACCCATCCAGTGCCGCTATAACAGGTGCCATCTTTCAGCCTTATTTCAGCTGCTCTCGTGCTAGTGTAGGGTTCTTCTGACCTCTGGTTTTCCCAAATGGCTTCTTGCAGATTCTACTACTCCTACAAGATTGGTTATGTTCCTGTACAAGCCCCGAGACAAACATTCTTCAAGGACCTTAAGAACAAGCATAATTTTGTTCTTGCTACCACCAATGGTACTGTAAACTCCTCCCCACATTTACAAGTTTCCTTGTAACTGTGATCCCTAACAGTTTTGTTTCATCTTTTAATAGCTGTCTGGAACAGAATCACTCCAAAGGATAAGTACTACCTGGGCCAGCCCATGAACTTCCAGGCTACGGCTTATTTTGCCACTAGTGGACAGAGGCTCTTCATTCAATCCTGCTATGCAACTGTAACCCCAAACCACCATTCGCACCCTCGGTTTACTGTGATTGATAACTTTGGGTAAGTGTGCGAAGAGGTGCAATTGACTTTTGTAAGTAGGTGTGGGATCACTGGTGGCTAACATTGGCTGCTCCTCTTGACATCAGGTGTATGGTTGATAGCAAGTCTGATGGCTGTCAGTCCAGGTTTATTCCACACGAGAGGAAAGATGTCCTCAGGTTCACCATTGATGCCTTCGTGTTCCAGAAAAAGCTGTCCAAGGTAGAACCTGCTCCATCTGAACAAGGCTTTCTTTATGTCCATGGATGGATTCAGACTACCTGGTAACGGTGTCTTTCAGGAGCATATGGAGACAGAGCTGTACATGCACTGCACCATGGTTGTGGCAAAAGCTGAAGTCACACCTGGCACCAAGGCTTGTACCTATAATAGGGAGGCTGGAAGGTAACCTCTGTTCTGCCTAGTGTGGGTGGGTTCTGAGGCCCCATGTTAACTCCTGTTGTCCTGCTTCAGGTGGGAAGAACTTTATGGGAACCATGAAGTTTGCAAGTGCTGTGACTCGGTGTGTGTTGGGGGCTCGCATGCAGGTGAGTGTCCTAGGATCAGGATACCTCAGCTTGTCCAAGTAATAGGCAATCTACAGATTTAAGGTAACCCAGATCTAACCTACTTGGTCTTGCTTCAGGTCTGTTGATCTGGGTACGGGCAGGAATTTTCTTCTTGGGGATGGGGGGTGGTTACAGGCTTGTCAGTTGGGTATTGGCTTCAACATGTCTGCATAGCCTGGCTTAATTCAAACTGCACCTTGCGGAGATCCCTGAGGTAGCAGGACTCCTGGCCTCTTGAAGTCGTCCTCCTCCATCTCCCTTTCAGGCCCCAGGAGCCTGGTAACCAGTGATGTGCTCACCCTTGACCTGCGGGGAGATGAAGGTGGTCGGCTGACCACAACAGCACCTCTAACCATTCCTGGGGGAGAGGAGTGGGGCCACCTGGAGTCAAAGCAGGAGCCTGGTGTCTGGGAAGATGTGGGACTACAGAATGATGCCGGAGAGAACCCGTGGAGCATGGATGAAGAGAGGCCTGGCCTGATCGTAGAGGAAGAGTTTAATCAAATCAAGGATGACAACATAGGCAAGTTTTTTTTTTGGAAGGGGGGTTGGGAGGAAGAGGTAGATCTCTAAATCTGACTTTTTTTTTTCCCTCTTCTAGCTTTTTGAGGAGCAGTCTACTACAGCCTGGCCCTCCAGAAGGGTTCCTGTTGGCCAACATTCTGTAAATTGATATGCAAATAAAAAGAGAACATGATGTCTGGTTTGGTCACACTTCTTGCATATGGAGACTTGGTATCTTCCTGGATTAAAACAATGCGCACAAGTAGAGGTGCATCCTGCCTCTTCTCTACAGACCCTCACTTACTTCATTCTTCTGTCCAAACTGCCATGGTCTTGCAGTCTAAATGTGGCCATGCACCCACCACTTACTTAGGTGGAAGGACCTCTTGCATTTTAAGATGCCGCCCCCACAGCAGTACCTCATTGAGTGTGGGCCACCACAAACTGGAGCAGAAGTCTTTATGGCACATTCTTGCTTGCTGCATTTAAAATGCATTGCTTCCCCCACTCCTGCCTAATGTGAACACTCCAAGGCACCCCTGCATGTAGACAAGATGAAGCTGCTCTGTGATGGGGAATCACCTCTTAATTAAATTGGGGGGAGGGAGAGGGGCAAAAGTTGCGCATGGGCACTGGGGCTCACCAGACAAAGTGAAATGTCTGCAGTGCTTCAGTACAAACACTCCCTAAATTCTCTGCTCAACATCCATGCAATAGATATTTGACATTCTAAGTGAGACAATGTCTTTGTAATACAAATAGGATTTCCTTCCCCCTCTTTCTTCTTGTATACGGGAAAGTCGAATGCTCTGCAACACTAGAGTAATGCATCTGTTGAAGGCATCCAGTTATGAATTGGAGCTTTTTTTTATAATTAACCATGTTTCCTACCAGCCTTGTGTTCAGTTTATTAACCTTCTCTTGCACCTCGCAGAATAGCGTATACATCCGCACTTTCATTTAAAGTTAAGGGGGGCGTCGGCAGAAACGAACTACTTGCCAGCTTGTCTGGGCGCTGTTGGTTTTTTATTTTCTAGCTCAGGTGCGATTCGGAGCGAGTGGGAGGGTGTGACGTCAGCCGTTTCGCTTTTGCTGTGGTAGTGCTGTGCTTGAGCGAAGGTGGAGTAGCTGTGGGGTGGTGAGGGGGAGGTGTTTGCAGCGGTTCTGTTGTCTTCACGGCTCTCTCCGAGTGTCGGGGGAAACTGTGCTCTTGGAAATTCAACTAGGGGGGACTATGAACTCCAAGAAGGAAGCGTTCCGCAGGGAAGAGATAAACAAAACGGTCTGGGAAGTGTCTGAGAAATACGTCTCGCTCAAGCAGATTGGGACGGGCGCGTACGGCACGGTGTGGTGAGTTGCTCTTAAAATTAATCGCAGCTCATGTACTCAAGTTTCAGCTGCTTACATAGTCTCATTTTAGTGTTATTGATATTATCGTTATGTACCCTTAAACTTTCCCACATAAACATAAAATAGCATTACAATATCGGGAACTTCTAAGGCAGTGAAAAGTGCAGCGAACTGTTAACTTGGATTTGCCTTGAAGTGTGCGAATCTTATTGCTGTAGCCACACAGTCGACAGGGATCTGCGATCTGGACAAATATTTACTCCGATTTACATTTCCTGTGTAAAAATGCATCTATTATTTAAGCACGAACTGAGCTGTTTGATTAAAATTGACTACAAGGTCGCAGTATTTGAAGTTAGTGGTACAGTACAGCGATGCACAGTCGCTCTTGGCAGCATTCAGCTCCTCATATAGTGGGCCTAGTTTCTGATCGTGCCTTTGCTTCTCAATCAAATTCAAACTATTCATCCCACGCACTTCGTATCAAGCTGAAACGTGCACATAAACATGCAGAAATCTACGTCTGTTAGCTTGCAAAAGCTGCATGAAAACCAAGTCGCCTGTTTTAACGAATCTCGTTGAGTAAATGTAAATGGTATCGTAGAATTACTGTATGATTCATTTTTTGTGTGATTACACGAACTGAAACCATCACCCCCTTTGTTTGCTTTTAACGGTTAGCAGACACAATTTTAAATATAGTTCACTCGTGTAGTTAGCATTTTGTAGCTGTGTGCATTGTACATTGAAGCCCCTCTCACCACATAGTGCATTACAGTCCAATTTCACACAGAAGATGCACCTAGAAAAAAAGTATTATTACCAAGATTCCCTCAGATACACGTATCTCCTTCAAAGATACTTTAGATTAATTCAGAATAGTTTTATTAAAAGCTGCGACGTTTCTTTGGGTTACTCTCCGGGTCATCGCTTTAAATTAGATGTTCTTCTCCACCGAGGTAAACTGACAATGTCGTTAAATTAAAAGATTACATTTAATGCATGAATGAATACACGAAGAAGTTGAATCCCGCTCGTGGTAGTTAAGCTAGGGATGATAACCAAAACGAAACCCTGTTGCTCAAAATAAGTTACCCCGACAAGAATGAAGATATTACAAGGAACAGTCTTTCCAGGGGGAAAATCTGTTCGAGAACACAAGGCTTGATCTGGTTCTGTAAAATGAGTTTGTTTTTGAATGAGAGAGGCTTTCATTTTGCAATATTTAATTAGATGTTTGTGCAGATATGACGCCATAGTGTTGTTATGGTGTGTTGAGAGGAACACAGTGGTGCAGTCTGGTGCTTCATTGTCTGTCTTATGGTATAGAAGCGTTGACCCCCCAATCTCCAGCAGTGCTCTCCATCACCTCATTATTAGCAATCTTCCGGTTTGATCTGTGACCACTTTTCCAGAGACTCAGAGTGCTGTAGAATGGCCCGGACAAACCGGACACCACCAAAGGAAAAACAAACTGAAAGAAAAAAAATATATAGCACACTGAAGTGGCAAAGTCAAGATGAAGACTACACTGCATGTGAAAAGAGCCGGCAGAAAGAGCATCAAGCGTTCAGGGGACGGTGGGAGAGTCTTGAATGGATTTGGACAGTGTGTTCTGTAGAGCTGCAGAAGAACGTGTTCACAGAGTATCATCAATCTCCATGTCCTCTTGTTCAGATGAGTGAGGGTGGAGTAAACTCTCAACTCTTATGGTCTCTCAAATGAACTTAGTTTAACTACACTGCTGCCTGATTTAGTGAACAGAACAGTTGGCGGTGTGGGCTACCTACGTCATGTCAGTGTATGCTGATGTGCGTAATGTTTTCTGCCCCTGGTTTGTATCGTAGAATAAGAAATGACATGAGTGTAATTTAGTGGAATGAATTGCTGCTCTTTCTGAGCTCTCACACAGGCACTGTTTTATTTAGACATGTTGTAAGAATCCTTCGTGGCCTGTTCTACTTGCGGACCATAAGGGCATGATGCAAGGGAGGGAAGGAGGGAAGTTTAGTTCTGTACAAAAGTGCTCAGTTTTGCCAGTATTTTATAGGCCATTGCCCATAATGAGAAATTGCCTCAAAGGGTCTTTTTTTGTTGTTTTTCTGATGAGAATAAATAATACTAGAGTGTGTGGTGTTGTGTGAGATTGGAACACGATGCCCAGCTATGTTACTGCACCTGCCTTCTTTCAAGAATCAGCTGGATGAGATCCTTGGGTCAATTAACTTACTAATTAGCAAACAAGCTAGATGGACTGAAAGGACACCTTTAATCTACAACCTTTCTTATGATCTAATACAAACATGTATAAGGATCTTCCAGCATGGGTGTGCAGTTAACTGATGTAGTGCCTGAAACAGGTAAAATAAACTACATAGCAATGTGCCGGCTGCTCTAGGAATTCAGTGTGAAATACCGCACTCCTGTTTAAGTTAGGCTGTTCTCTGTTCTTGTTTGTCAGAAGACATAAACACCAGAGCCTAGTGTGTTTAGCTTTAAATCCTTCCCCTGGCTAAACAGGATTGTGCAAACACATTGGAGCTCTTTGGCGCTTGTGCTGTTTTGATTTTGTTGCATAGATGAAATCCAACCGCTGTGAGGCCATGTCCTGGAAAACTGGAAAATCAGCCACATTAGCTGAAAGCGATGGTTTGATTGAGTTTAGTATGAATCACAGGAAATCGGTTTAAAACAGCAAGAGAGAAAAAACAGCTCAGAGCCACATGTGGTAGAGATTCCACAATGTTTTTGGGAGTCCAGCTGTGCCAGAAGTTTAAAGAACATCCTTTGATATAGAGTAACAGTGTGGAGTTTCAGAGGCTGGGAGCATGTGCAGGTCACTGTTATTAACCAGCCTTTTAGACATACTATAGCTATGTTTTATCTCATTAGAAAAATGTATCAGATACATAATTTTGGGCATTCAGTGTTTCAGAAATAACATTGTTAAACTTTCTCACCCTTACTTTTTTAATTCCACTATTCTCTGCTATGGGGTCTTAAGTGTTTTCCTTCCAAACTTGAGCCCAGTAGAGCCATCTCCCCATTTCACGGTTGTGAGTCCCAGGGTGCCTTACAGAGCAGAGTCAGCATCAAGCTGGAGGAGGGACACTGCTCTCACTGACAGCATTGCAGACTCACAGGTACTCAGCACATCACAGAGGTGCTGTCCGCACAGCAGGACAAGGCAATCTCTGGCTCATCCAACTCTGGTTGCGCTCATCAAGTTGTGCATATGTCATCCGGGGAATTTCCGGCTATGTCTGGCTAACTGCAGAGCCCAGAGTCACACCAGTGATGCCTGAGCTGTAAGACTCAGCCTTTACTCTGAACAAGCACTTTCCCAGATTGGACGTCTTCAGAACCCCTATAAATGACTTCAAATCAATGACGAATTCAAAAGCCTGGGAAATACAGAGACAGAGACAGGTGAAAAATGACCTAAAAAGTAGAATGTAGTATCTTCCTTCTCTTTAAAACACACAACTTACAAAATATGTCTCTGTGTCACCAGCCACTGGGAGGAATCATCACTGTCAGAATCAGCTGACAAGAGCTTGTCTTTAACATAAGGTTAAACTACTTGGGTCGAAATTCTCCTACAGGGCATGCTTGAACACCATACTCTTGAAAACCTTTGAGCCTGCAAAGAAAAGCAACATCAGCTGAATTAGATGTTTTTTTTTGTTGTTCTCTGAAATAGCCTTAAGCAATTGGAACAGCTAAACAAAAGCTGAGGAATTGCTGTACTGTATAGTCCAGTGTTAAACCACACTATATTGTTACAGCTTTCCTAGCCACACTCTGAGCAATTTGAAAAAGATAAGCTTGTGGTCTGAACTTGCTTGTGCTGGCAGTACCTTCCAGCAGTCCGGTTTGTCTTGTTCCTGCTTGCTCTTAGACCCTCATCAGGGCCCAGCGTGATTTGTTCTGCCCTGCTGCCCCATGACAGACTCTTCCCTCTCGCCTTCAGCTCAGCCATCAATGAGAAAACCAAGGAGAAGGTGGCCATTAAGAAGCTCCATCGGCCCTTCCAGTCGGAGATCTTTGCCAAGAGAGCCTACAGGGAGCTGCGATTGCTCAAACACATGAAACATGAGAACGTGAGTCAGGCAGTCTGTCATTTCCGACCCATGAGCTGCCTTTACAAGCTGGAGCATAATGCCAAGCACAAAATGGAGCAGACACATAAGCTGAAGCATTGTGTAGCATGGCCTAGTGCTGACGTCCAAAATGATGATAATTAGACTTCCTCTGCTGTAGTATTTTAAAGATAATTGCTAATTGCTTTTTTTTAAGCATGGTGATTGGAGCTATTACCCCGCTGGTCCTGAAGGGGTATTCAGATGGATGTTTTTGGGTGCTCCTGGTTCCTCCCACCTGTTTAGTTAATTGGCATCTCTAAATTGTTCTTGTCCACCCTGTGATGGACTGGTGTCCAGTCCTGGGTGTGGTTCCAATTATGCTCCCTGTTATGTGTTTCTGTGATAGGCGCAGGGTTGCTCTCACTGATAATGCCTGTATAGATGTTTACTGGGTGTTGGATGAATAGTTTAGTTGTTGTGGGAGAGACACTTCTTTTTGGCTCTTGAAGAGGTGAATTTCAGGTAGTTTAAAATGCTAAGATAAGCAAGGCAACATACACCCTTACATTAAAATGCCGTATTTTGTGCTCAGGAAGGATGTCAAGTAAACAATGAATGGTAAATGTATAATGTCAGGCATGGAACAACTGTGGGGAAAAACCTGGAGAATCCTTTCCCTGCTGTAGTGGTGGTGGGGTCCTGTCAATATGCCAGAGAAACCACAAAAATAAAATGCCAGCTGATAGTTTCAGGCTGGGGGAATTTCTCTGTATATTTTTTAAATTTGCACGTTAACTGCATCAGAAATCTACACCTCCGAAGTCTCTCTTATGTGCATTTGCTCAGTCTCGCACACTAGGCATTGCTCTGTTTGGCCTTTAGGACTTAGATTCTTTTTTTTCTTTCTGTAGCCTTTGTGATGTGCTGTATTCAAAAGCAGTCCACTGCCAGAGTCAGTCAGATTCAATCTGGGGGACTGACCTAGACTCATGGAACAAATCCTGCTTAAAATCTGTTTAAGGCTTTAAAATGAAGGCTTCGCCTCTTTGTTAAACAGCCCCTCCTTTTCCTCTGTGTTCCAGGTGATCGGACTCCTAGATGTGTTCACTCCTGCCGCCTCTTTGGAAGATTTCCATGACTTGTATGTTTTACTGTTTGCTGTCTCTTGGAAGCTTATAAGAATGGGGTATAGGGAATATTGCAGTAATGTGAGTGGTTGGGTGAATGAAAATTATCTAGAAAAAAACAGTCTGTTGGAAATGTGAAATTTGTGTTGCAAATCAGGAGTTGTCTGTTTAGATCATTGCCCAATTCAGACCTGGGGAAAGAGATGAATTGACTATGCATTTTGAAAGTTTATATGGAAAGAGAATCACAGGACCTTGTGGCCTGTGATGGCTGGAGATGACAGCTATTTCTTCTTTTTTTTAATGTATGTGAATCTTGTTGATTGTTCTTGTCGCTGTTTTTGTTTGCTTTGAAGCTACTTGGTGATGCCATACATGTACACTGACCTGTCCAAGGTGAAGGGCCTGCTGTCTGAGGACAGGATCCAGTTTCTGGTCTACCAGATGCTCAGTGGGTTAAAGGTAGGTGAGTCAGTTTCAAATAGACGTTCTCTAAGAGGAGCCTGCAATTTTATTTCAGCCTGAAGCCAAGTTTATCTGATCTCCCCAAGTCACGTCATTCTTGGCATTAAAGCTCTAACCCCCAATAGTCTGGTATTAATCTGGTATACTGGTATTAATCAAAGTTCTTTTTTTTTAGATAATCTGATTGTGTTGTAAGAACTTAAGGTCATGAAATACAACTCACTGGTCTGAGATGTTTCTATTTGTTGATTAAGCTAAGAGATTTCACCCAGCTGTTTTTTTAAGGAAACAAGGGTATCAGCTTGAACTATTTGGCTTCATAGCCTGTTCTAGGCACTGGCAACACTTTGCTAAAAGCTCTTTTCTCTTTGCGTAAAGAGCTGCAGTGTTAAATATATGTTTTTTAGAATGTTTTTACATCTTGAATAAAGAAAAAGAAAAAACTGAATACCCTGAAACATGCCCTGTGTTGTTCAAAAAAGTAATGAGACAAAACTTACATTTCTGTGTAAAACCATTCTGGGTAAAAACAACTTCTGTAGAAATTGTTCTTGGCTTGTTTTTTATTACACCTTGTTCCTGTAAATGAATCATCCTATTTCTTACCTTTTTTTTCCCACAGTACATTCATTCAGCTGGGATTATTCACAGGGTAGGTGAATTATTTTTTATTTTATCATCTGAACAGGCTAACCATCCAGGCACTGAAATGAATATCTAGAGCAAAAGAACATTTTATTCTTGAATGGTTATAGAACCTGCAGTATGGTAGGAAGAGACAACCTAATCACTGGTAGGAAATTGAATCAGGAAAAATAGGCTACATTTGTTGAATATATCAGAAGAGACAAAATTACTGTGTGTTTTTTTCCATTTTAAATGTGCAGAATCCTACGGCTCCTGTGTATGTTCGGCACAAACTGACACATTATTCAAATCAGGAGAAAGATAGTTTTCTGTAGTCTTTTTAAGAAAATAACATTGGTAAACAAAAAGAAATTCTTAATCTACCTGTGGTGATGCTCCTATCGTTCAGTGGGAAACAAAATATGAATTAAGTATGGTTGGATAAGCATGTTTAAATGAGCAACACGAGGAACTGATTTTGTTAAGCTGATTTCTACACATGCAGAACTGAAAGATTGAAAAGGAGCGAACCCTATTGTATTCTTCGTTTTCCACATACTTTTTTTGTGTGTTTAAATAATTGGTTTTGATTCCTAGATGCCTGTGTTTGACTCTCCTACACATACCCCCCAGGGCTGGGGGGTGTAAGAAAGGATGTTTTACAGTTGGAGGAGTGACATTCTTGCTGCAGAGATGACTGCTAAAAGTTACAGGCCAGCTATAAATCAGCTGGCAGATCAGTGACTGTCACAGTCTTGCGCTATTTCTCCTAGAACTATCCTGTAGAATCTTTGGTTGTCAGCCATTTTGTAAACTGGCCTTTTATTTTCCTGAGTGAGATTAGATTTGGCTTTCTATTCTGTATCCAGATCATTCTGTACTTTCCTCACACTGTGCCCTCCTCCATACCTAGGCTGTGTCCAGGCATGAAAGATTAAAGAAGAGTCTGGGTTTTGGTGACAGGTTCTCTCTGCTGTGGAAGAAAAGCGCTTTGGTGAACTCCTGACTATTATGTTCCTGTACGACAGACAGCGCTTCAGGCAGGACTTGCTGGAACCTGTTTGCAGTTACCGCTACTGGCTGTGTTTCTGGCTGTGAGCGGTGTACTCAGAGTGAGATCATCCAAAAGAAAAGATAACAAAAGAGACAAAGCTCTTTCAGCACATCTCAGTTCCCTGGTGGTTTTAGTGTTAAGAAATTGTTTAATTACCCCCAGTGATTCAGCCACACCCTGAGTTTTCATGCTGCTTGTGCTACAACCTCCACACGTTATATACAGAAGTGCCTCCTGTTCTGAGGCAGTGCACTCGACTTCCTGATGATAATGCCTCTAGTGAGGTGACTGCGTCCGTCCCTGGGCTCATTTCACTGTTGTAAAAGTCAGCCCAGTCAGCCTCCCTAAAATAGTGGTGTTGAGTCAGATCAGGACATACTGTATATTGTGAACACAGACAGGTAGGTGTCCCACCTGACTCTTTCCTGTAATAGGCCTTCAGATTTCAGTTCATTTCACCTTGTTAGATGCAGTTTCTGGTTTATACTGTATGTTTAAAATGACTTAAGTGATGTTAGATATAAAATTAAGTCTCCTTCAGTTGGGAGGGACTGGGTTTATGGTTGTATCTTGGGGTCAACCCCCCAATAAAACCTAATTGCAGACAGGGGGGATGGGAGAGGACCGTTCTATAAAGTGTGCCCCGAACAGGTGTGAGTGAATGTCTCCCTACTTAGACCATGTTCCTTTAGGCCAAGAATGTATTCTCCTGATACTGAGGGCTTCAGACCAGGACGTTTTGTTGCTTCCTTTTGATCTTTAACCACTGCTGTCCTGGGACAGTGTTGGGTTGGTTCAGTTAAATATGAAAGCAGTTCAGTAAGATTACTTGTAGTTCAGTAAGATTACGTGTAAGCAGATCTCAGACATGATTAACAGCAAACTATCCATAACATTTTTGTCAATGTGTTATACTGAAGAGGGATCTGAGCCAGTTTAGTTATGAGCTGCACCCCCTTAATTAAATTACATTCCAACTGAAATCATGCTCCTTAACCTGAAACAGAACATTAAACAGAGATTCAAGAATAACAATCCAATCCCCTAGATGGTTCATTCTATACAAACAGAAAAAATACGTGCTGTTCTTCTTGTCTTCCAACTGCATATTAACCTTTGTGGTCTTCAGGAATTCTCTCTGTATAATACAAATTCCATCTGCATCTTCTCCATGATACTGTCTCGTTCCTTTGTTCCCAACAGTATCTCTTCTTCTTGTGCTCTTATTTCCTGTTTCTAACGTGGGGTGGCTCCCACTTCCAGTGGTGAGGATTCTGGGGTGGGAGGATGAAAGCTAGTCTGGAAGGGCTCTGTGTGTGAAGTGTAGGACAGGACAGCGCTGTCTGGTTGCATGTGCTTTGGCCAGAGCCGTCCTGAGTCGCCAGAAAGCTGGAACTTGGACCACGCCTGCCTCCCCAAGGCTGAAGGGGGTGTCCCAGTGTGCGAGAAGCCACTGGTGAGCTGGCTGTGGCAGAGTGACCTCGAATCCTGCCGGGAGAGGAAGAGGGGGAGTTTAGGGGTGGAGGCTCTGTCCTTGTTTGCCAGCAGCACATTGCAAGGCCATCGTGTCTTCCCTGCATAATCGCTGCTCGATGCCAGAGTCCGACAGGGTGTCGCACTCATGCAGAGTTTTTTTTTCTTGTTTTGTTTACAGGTTAGCTGGGTCACTGTACTCTTAGTTTCTCCAGCCTGCCTTAATAAAAAAATTCTGGAGCACAGTCATTAATCAGACCACGCACAGAGCAGTACATTACCAGCTAGTTACAGTGCAGTACTTTCAGATAGAAATAGCCTATAGCCCAGAACTGGTTCTAGTGAAGTACATTGCAATGAGGTGGTTAGGTCTTCAGGGTTGTAACCCTCAGTAGGAAGTGATTCTGGAGAACTTATGTATCGGCTGACACCTGAGGACATGGGCTGTGGATGGTTTTCCTTAACAAAACCTTCGTGGACAACAAGTGAAGGTTGCTTCACAGGTCTCTCCCTCCCTTTGTGTCTCTGAAACTCAGATTCAGAAATACCTTTATTGATATGCTGAGGCTGTACCAGGTTTGACGAAGCTTTTCCAGAACGAGACCAGTGAAATGGGCACCAAATATTAAACCCTAATCCCCTAACCTCTTACTCTCTTTTTTTTCTCCTAGGACCTGAAACCAGGCAACTTGGCTGTTAATCAAGATTGTGAACTGAAGGTAGTTTTTGTTTCTACTGCTGCATTGCATAGTGTAAATCAAATAAAGAATTCCTGGTTACAGTTCACTGTCCAATAGGTACAGCCTGTAGGGTCTTGATTAAAGAGCTAGAGAACAGCGGGCCCATTAGCTAATGCTGCTGTTCAAACCAACGCAGAGATCCACTGAAGTCCACTGAAAAACTCTCCACAAAGCTCTGGTATGTTTAGTGAGGTTTACAAAAACATCTGTGGCTGGAAAATCGTTTTGCTCTGGTTTTCATTTTGTTTGCTCTAATTCATGATCATAAGTTATAAAATTCAAAAGAAACTAGTTCACTGTAATTTTAGTTGCCAAAATGTCACATAGATGGGAGAGAAGAGGAGACACAACTCCTGGCTGTTACATTCTCTCCTGGTTTTTATTATCGTGGCTCAGGTTTTTGGAATTAGCTGTGAGTGTCCATCACAGAGATGAACTGATGCTCAATCTCAGAATGCTGAGACTGCCGTTGGGTTATGTCGTGCCAATAATAAAAACCTACTTTCAGTGAGTTTATTGAACTTTTGACATGATACCTTAAGTGGGTAGGCTTTGACTTTGAGTCTCCTTCTTGTGATCTGCTGGTGGATTTCTGTCAGCTTTGCTCAAAGCTGTTTGTTGTGATTAAGTCCTTTTACAATTCTCCCAGTATTCTCTTTTGTTATTCCCTCTCCTTATCTTTTCTTTTGAAGTTTCCTCTTTTCTCCTCTCTCGTTTGCCCATCCCTTTCTTCCATTCTCCCCCACTGTCGCCCTCTCTGTGTCCTGCTCTGTGTCATTGCACCATGTTCTGTGTGTTTCATTGGTTTGATCCCCTGGCCTCACCACCTTTCTCTCTTCCTGTCCTGAAGATCCTGGACTTTGGGCTGGCCCGGCATGCGGAGCCTGAGATGACTGGCTATGTGGTGACACGGTGGTACCGGGCGCCCGAGGTTATTCTCAACTGGATGCACTACACTCAGACTGGCAAGGAACTATATCATTTCACTTAGTCCAGCAAAGCAGCAGAGCCTCAGGCTTTGAGCCTCCTACCGGAGGGTTGAGGGTTCAAATCATTCCTTTTACCGTTGTATAATTGAGTGGGATATTTCATTCTGACTGCTGTATAAATAAGTACAACCCAAGTCTTCATTGTGATGAAATTTTGTTCTGAAGTGACTAAATCTTTTAAATAAAGAAGTACAAAAGTGCAGCCTGTTAACCAGTTGGAATCTGAAATGCTTAGAGGCTGCAAAATCATAAACCTTAAAACATGTCTAGAGTAAGGCAGCCCAAACACAGGACTGGACAGCCTGTAAGAAGTAAGATCTCAATTCTGTTCCAGCACAAAACCTGATGTGTGTTCTTAGGAATCAGATTTGCGTTTGATTTAGGCTTCATCTGTTTCCTACGCATAGCTGCAGTGATGTTTTAACGCAGACACTTATGATACTTGGATTGAGACTTTTTCTGGTTTTGAATAGTCTGGCTGTGAAAATGTACAGCTTCCCAATACCATAACACTGAGGCGGTCTTTTCAATCTGCAGCTATAGCACCTTAATTCTCACTGAAAAGTGGGGAGTAAAACACAGCTGCCAATAACCCTTGAGCCCAGTCTTGAAGGCAGATTCAGGGAAAGGGTTCTGCTGTTTTTCCCCTGGAGGAGAATGGGTTGGAAGGGGAACTGCAGTCATAGTTTCTCTGGCAGTTATTAAATCACAGCAACAAAATAAATTGACGTCATAGAAAAATTTTACAAATTTTAAATTAAGCACAAAATCGTGATGTTTGTGAAAGCACTGGACAGTCGCCATGTTGTCACAAACGTGCATTCAAGTTCCCAGGAACTGTGACGTGATGCAGCCCTTCCTGCTCACTAGTCACCCTAATGTCGGGGAATGCGATGCACAAGCGAGTAAGTACAGGCTCTGCAGCTGACATTTGACCGCAGACATTTTCCAAAGTGATCTGCAAGTAAGTAGTATTTGTCGGCATAACTGTCTTGAAATCAAAAGAAATATTTCTGTTGAATTAAAAGAGATGTATTCACAAGCCTGCATGTTAACTGTAATAAGGCCGCAACACGTCACTGGAAGTCTGAATCGCACAATATGGTGCTGAGCATATCTGGAAATTTTGTCTTTTAGGTGATTTTACAAGTTACTGTGTCCATTTCACTTTTATGGTGGTTTGAAATCCATGCATCAACGCTGATTCTTTCTAACCTTGAAATATAAAAATAGAGTTGCAGTCTCGCTTTAAGCCAGACCCTTAGTCAATCACCAAAATCCATCTAAAAACCTACTGATTTTGGATCAATAAGATATACAGTAGGTTGTAGGGATAAGGATGCCTGCCTCCACTGTCTGAGGTGTTGTCCAGTAGTAGACTGTTGCATGTCTCAGCTTTAGTTTAGTACTGCCCAAGTGTGCACCAAAACTGAGGTCATTTACATTCATCTGTGTATCTTTATGTCACAGTCTGAAGATAATGGTGTCATGCATGCTGAACATTATTGTAACTAGCAAAAATGATGTTAACAATATTAAAATGATTAAAATAGCATTTTTAAGGAAAGAATGTTTCAGTGTAAAGTTTGACACATGTTAAAGTAATTCTATTTTGACAAAAATGTGCTGGGGAATGAGTTCTGTGTTCTTGATGGTATAGACCCAGGAGCAGGTCTTGAGTTTTGCCCAACAATGATTTGCCATCCTTTTTCTCACTGAGTGTTCTTTCTTTGTTCACCTTTCCCACAGTGGATATCTGGTCTGTGGGCTGCATCATGGCTGAGATGATAAACGGCAGGACGCTCTTTAAGGGGAAAGACTGTATCCTTTTTATTCTCTTTATTTCGATCTGGGGGGGGGGGTCTGTGGTAAGAGACCCACTACCTAGTTTTCCCCTTTTCTAATGTGAATTTTACTTGATCTTTCCATTTTTGTCCATTTAACCTTTAAGAATTACTCTCATGTCCCTGTCCTACTCCGTGCGCTTTCACCCTTGACCTCTAATTCGTCAGACATGGACCAGCTCACCCAGATTATGAAGGTCACAGGTGTGCCAGGTCCTGAGTTCATTCAGAAACTGGAAAGTCAGGAGGTAAAGACCTCTGTCATATCCAGTCTGACTGCACCCTTTTGATCTCTCTTTATTCTCCATCTCTGTACCCAGTATAATATGACTAAGATTGGCGTAGGCCTGCAGCAAGATCACAAAGCACGAGATTCTGGGGATTTTCCAGGAGATCCCAGAGAGGTGAGATGGTAGTGAAGCAGTGAGTAGGGAGCAGAGGGATGAGCATACATTCTGAGGTTAAGTAGTGAGTGAAGCCAACAGTTTGGGAGGATGAGGACTGTCTATTGAGAAGAGGGCAGGGAGACCAGCGAGAGAGGAGCTGCCTGAAAGGAGGCAGCAGGGTTGATGGAGAGAGTGCTGGCTAGAGGTTTTCCAGGTAGAGACATGTTTCTGCTGGATCGATGCTTGCTCGATAGTGATAGTGAAGAAAGTTGTGTTTTTAGGAGTGCATAAGCAGTAGCCTTACAGCAGTAAGAGCTCAGTGTCAGAGCACCGATCTAGTGGAGAGTTCAGCCTTAAATAGCCCGCTCGATTAGATGACTGACCGGTGGATTGGCTGCCTAATTGATAGACAGTTGGTCTAATTGTGAGGAAGCCCAACCTTGTTCTTTCGCGACTGGTCCCCGTGTGAATGAGCTGCTCACCCTTGGCAATGGCTCCCAGTCCAGGCATGACAGTTAACATTGTAGATTAGTAAACTGGCAGATGCACAAATGAGCCAAATGGCCTCTTCTCATTTGAAAACCTATTTGCTTTTTTCTTAGTTATAGTAAGAGAGCACAAGTAGACCACGATAGAAAAATCCCTAGAGTTGGAGGTGATCACTTGAATGTGGCAGGGCTCTGCGCTAGTCTCGGGGATTCATGTTTCAGAGACTAGCAGGTTCTTCCATGGCATAGCATCCTCCATCCTTCCAGTTTTCCTGTTGCTATCCCATGGATAGATGGTTGATGGTGCTAGGATAGTGCCCCTGTCACTATACTGGGGCATTAGGACCCACACAGGCAGCTAGGTGAGCACTCGCTACTGGTTCCACTGACACCACTGTCAGCAGCAACGTTGGCTTTCCCAGGAGGTGTCCCATCCAGGTACTGACCAGGCTCACATCTGTTAGCTTCAGTGGCTTGCCAGTTTGGGTTGCAGGGTGATATAGCTGCTGGGGTTCTGCTGGTCCGGACTCAGTGGGGGTTCTGCTGGTCCGGACTCAGTGGGATTCTCTGGTCTGGCATCAGTGGGGGTTCTGCTGATCTGGAGTCAGTGGGGGTTCTGCTGATCTGGAGTCAGTGGGGGTTCTCTGGTTTGGAGTCAGTGGGGGTTGGGTTGGGAATAAAGTAATCAGATTATACTTTTTAGATGATGCACCCCTTTCTAAATGAAGCTTGAGTAGCTTCTAATTGTGTTTTTTAAGGTAATTAACTGTTTTAACGTAATACTTTAAAGTAAATACTTTAAAAGTAAAGGTTGTAAAATATTTAAAGCTCATAATAGGTTAACTGTGTCATAATAATGTGGTGGTAACCAATCCCTGCTAATACCTCAGTATATTTATAAGCAACATTCAAGATAGTCCTAATTTGGAAATTTGTTATTATTTGAGAAGTTGTTGTTAATAGCTTGCTTGTTATGCTTGTTATGTTTGCCGAGATCATTCAATTGCTTCTCCTTTCTTTCTTCACTCTGTGTGGTGACATCCAGGCGAAGAACTATGTGCGGTCTCTCCCACATTTCCCCAGGAAGGACTTCTCCCTGCTGTTCCCCCGAGCCAGTCCAGCTGGTGAGTCTGTGTGCTCCCACGGCTCATACATCCACTTCCAGTCTTGCCACAGTTGGAACCCCATTTACTGCCTCTACCTTATACACCCATTGTGATACTGCTGCTACCCTGTACACCCGTCACTGATACTGCTGTTACCCTATACACCCGTCACTGATACTGCTGTTACC